TTTCAATTGATGTTCCTTTTTAAATCTAAAGGATAAGTAAGGATTTCACGTGAAATCCATTTACTTTCAATTGATGTTCCTTTTTAAATCTAAAGGATAAGTAAGGATTTCACGTGAAATCCATTTACTTTCAATTGATGTTCCTTTTTAAATTTAAAGGATGAGTAAGGATTTCAATTGAAATCAAAATGACTTTCAATTGATGTTCCTTTTAAATCTAAAGGATGAGTAAGGATTTCAATTGAAATCAAAACGACTTTCAATTGATGTTCCTTTTAAATCTAAAGGATGAGTAAGGATTTCAATTGAAATCAAAATGACTTTCAATTGATGTTCCTTTTAAATCTAAAGGATGAGTAAGGATTTCAATTGAAATCAATTTATTGCCAGGCAGGAGGAGGGTGTTCTTTACTTGGGGGTGCACATGCACATTATTTGGGGTGAACAACCCACCTAAAGGCGTACTCTTTAAGAGCTTCTCAAGAGCTTCTCAAGAGCTTCTCAAAGTGCAATGTGTTAATAAGAAAGTAATAAGGGACATGTTTTTTTTTCAATCATACATTTTGGGATGTTCCTAGATTTTGGGGATTCTGTGCCTTGAATCTCTTCAATATATATATATATATATGTATGTATGTATATTATTATTATTACTACTATTATTATTTTATTATTATATTATTATTATATTATTATTATTGTTATTATTATTATTATATATATATATTAACATATCTCATCCATTGACACAGTACATCTCCTTTCCTGAACCATGTGTATCTTGCATCCTTTTGAAGCCAGCACCAGAACCATCAGGTCAGAACCATCAGAACCTTACTTTCTCACCACCAAAAATTATCAGGATGGTTGGAAATAGGGACCCCGTTTTACAACGTTTGTGGACATGCAATATTTCTCTTCTATGATATTTGAGCATATGTTGTTCGAATGTATGCTCATAGACCTTTCCTTACATAATGTTATATCATGGAAACATTAACACGTAACACCTCAAAATGCATTGCAAACCACTTAAGACAGAATACTTGCTTGACGACTTTCTTGTTACTTCAGGATATGTAATGGCAGCCGGAAATGTCTGGTGATCCCCAGAGCTCCCAAGAGAATCCTAGAGATCCCTAAGGAAGGAGAACAAAATGAAAGAATACTACATAAATGTAAAACATAGCTTCTAGAGGGAGGGGCTGTCGATTCAGAAACGTTTAAAAAAAAAACGACCCCCCTCTACGTAGAAGCTATGGGGATCTCCTGCAAGATCTGGGATCCCTCTGGAGACCTGATCTCTAGGAAGGATCTGATCTCGGATCCCTCGGGGATCTGATGATTTGGGGATATTTGGGAGTCACAAAAAAGAATAACAAATAAATAACTATATATATATATATATTGGAATGTGAACAATTTTTTCGGCTGCCATTACATATCCTCACATTATGGCACAAGATAGTTTTTGAAGGCACTGGAACACAAGATGTCAATGAATCACAAGGTCCTGTTTGATGACTTCCATTGATTCTGTGCCATCCAATGCGCAACAGCAGGATAGTCCACTTTCTGTTCTTCTTGGGAAGAAGGCTTTAGCACAAAATTTCGCTCTGAACCCGTTTCACTTTGTATTGTAGGTTTGCTCCTAGCCATGGTTGAATATAGGCATATCCTTGGATATATCGTATGTTCTGATCGCTCTATTGCAACTACAGGCTATCACTATAAAAATTAGGCTAAACGCATTGTTTGATCAGCATTCACTCCTAAATGTTGTTAGGATGACAACCGCTACACATTCTATAATGTACCATTCTGCAAGGGTATCCCTAATGATAGTTATATGCAGTTCAAAAAGTATGATGGTGTGATATGGCGTGTAATATCCAGATATGTGCTTTGCCTGCATTGCTTGTATTTGACAATATTTCCAAGCTCTTTGCTTGCTTGCAATGTTGGTTTGTGAGAGAGCCATATTCTGGTCTCAAACTCTAAGTTTATGGAATGGTTGTGCTATGTGTTGGAATGAAGCTGATCTCTGCTACCTGCATATGGAATTTACTTTCCCTTCTTGTTGTTGTTGTTGTTGTTGTTCTTGTTGTTGTTGTCCTATGACGATTGGGCAAAAGTAAGCTTACCTATTTCATGTGCATCACATAGGTTGGAACAGTTTATATGTGAGAAGAGTCATTTGCTGCATGCCCCTCCTTGGTCATTGTTAACGTGTGATGTCATCTTCACTTGATTACAGAACTTGGTAGAGTCATTGAGATCTACACTCGCATTATTTTGTTCATTCCAAATATGTTGATGATCATTCTAATCAATTTCAATCACGTCGATTTATAATGGGTAGTTGTAGCTTGAGACCCAAACAGTGTTGTGAGGTGTTCACTTTCAACCCTTAATACGTCCGTTGCCAGCGCAACTGCTTGCATTTTCCATGATGTTGTAAAGTCCAAACTTCATTTGCGTATGTTAAAACCACCAATCAGATAAACAACTGCATTAGCACTTATGGTGATGTCAGAAGGGGGGATCTGCCTTAGCAAAGACATTGACCTTTGCAGTATGACTAAACATTTGGTATTATTAGAATATATATACAACTATATACACATGTATAAATACATGTATTAAACGTGCTGCTTGCCATGGGTCTACTTCAAGTTGTTTTGCAACAACCATTGCAAGAACGATTTATATGCAGGATTTGGCTCCTATTTGCACCCCTAGTACACTATACCAAACAGTATCAAATAGTAATGTAGCAAGAACAAAGCAAACAACAAAAACAACTATAGAAAAAAAAAACAAAACATAAACACATAATACTATTCATATAAACAACATAAGTCATTTAACAAAAAAAACACTAAATTGCGTGGCCCTCATTTCCAACCACTCTGAAATAAATATGTTTTTTTTTTTCAGAATGTTTTCTTTTATTTGGGGGTGGCCACCCATCTTGATTAATAGGGGTGAGCAACCCATTGGACTGTGGGGGTTGATTACTTTGGGGGTGATTATTAATAGGAACTTAACGCTACCTGAAAATAGGGTACCTGATAATATATAATCCGGTTTTTCCATGAAAATTGCCTTTTTGGGTTTACCATATGTTCAGACAAACCCAAATACAAATAATCACTCCCAGACATGGGGGAAATCTGCGGTTGAAAGCGAAACATCCACTGATTGCCCAGTGATGATTTCATTCGTACATTTGATTTGTATGTGCACGGTTTAATAGTAGTACACATTGATACATATGTACTGTATATGTATATACATATATATATATATCATATATAAATATGTAGTATGACTAATATATATCTGGTCCTGGAGTAGATGCTGGTTCATAAATCCCTTGGCTGTCTCGTTGAAGGGTACCATTTTAGTATATTTCATCACAATATTGGCACGTTGAGTGGAGAACCTTGTTCAACCAGGGTGCAGTTGTCGGTGTACTTTTTCGTCAAGCGTATGCGAGACATAGATACGATCGATTTTACATGTGGGATGTATAATGTCTCTAGGGCTTTAAGACAACATAACTACAGGATATTTTGTGGCATTGTATCATAGCACATTTTTCCTTCATCGTAACATTTACATAGTTTTTCAGCTATAGGTCACCTTTCCTCAGCCTGCACTGCATAGTTTGCAACGGCTCTGACGAAGGCTTGACGTTTCTTCGTAATTGAATAGCTGCTGGGTTATAGTATGAAGCATGCACTATCATTTACCCTCCAGTAAATTAACAGTTCGACCCTGCCATTCATCGGGGTTTTCAGATTAGTTTCCATTCAAAAACTGGGGATGTTCAGGGTTAACAAGTTACAGTCATTTACCAGAGGCTATTACTTGAGTTGTTGTTTGGAGACCAAAAAACGAGACACTCACCGAGCTTGTGTGATTGTTTCTATCGTTCCATGGGATCGCAACTGTTGAATTAAAAAACAAAAAAGCCACGAGCAAAAAACTGGACCGGAATCAATTCAGGAAGAGACAGTTCTATATAATATATAAGTTCTATAATAGTTCAAGCTATGCAGCTTCCACTTCTTGATATATGTTGGTTTTACATAGACATTTGTGAGCTCACAAAGACACAGACAATCCCAGTGCACAAGGGGCCAAGACCTACCCAAGGAGTGTGACGATGGGGCCAGGACTGGGCGTTCTGGGCAGTTCAAGTGCAAGATTGACAAATGTGACATCCCAAAATAATGGGATGTGAAGATGTGAAGAGTATGTTTTCCCCCACCTACCAGGTTCGGGTCTCTAGATTGTATCAGAGCTGCATGCTGCCCACCTCGTCCTCTACCTCCCCCCTCGGACCCCGCCCTCAATCGCCAGCTCCAGAGCTCAGTGGGCACTGCCAGACCTCAACTGCGAAAGCCAGATCTCAATGGGAAGTGTGGGACCTCAATCGCGAGTGCAAGACGTCACATAGAATGTCAGATAGAATCCCTGATAAAAATGTCAGAATATGTGTCAGATAAAAATGTCAAATAGAATGCCTGATAGAATGCGAGAAAACATGTCAGATAAAATCTCAGATAGAATGCCAGATAGACTGCCTGAATATATGTCAGGTAGAATGTCAGTGGGTGGGGATCACTCGAAGAAAGTAATTGATACGATGTGGTAATTTTCATCCACATATGTTTTATTTTGCCAGATGCGGATACAGCTAAAAAAAAATCTGGGATCAACCCAGTTGAATGATTCCATACAAGGTGGTGCTTCCCCATATTTACAAGTCGGTTGTATTCCGTTTATAATAATATATAACCCATAAACTAGTTTTATAACATATGTATATACCTACCATGAAACCCAGTCATGTTACTAATCGACCAAATCAGCAAACATAAATTACCATAAATCATTATAAATCAGGTATAAATCGCCTTTCTTCTTGAAATCCCCATATTTTTTTTGGTGCCCGACCGGTGGACCGGTGCCTTAAACGCTGGCGCTGCGCCAGGAAGCGTTTTGCCCCAGCGACCGAGACGGAGTGTGACCGCACGCGGAGCGTGCGGCGGCGAGAGACACTGCAGAGCTCTGCGAAAGAGGATTCGGATGGATTTCTTACGGTGCCTGGGCCCGGAAGGAGCAGGATCTGGAAGGATCTGGAAGGTCGAGGGAGGTTGCTGGGTAGAATTCACATATATATATATAATTATGTTTCATGATATATATATATATACATACAAAATATATAATCGAAACAAAACATCCTATAGATATGTCATTTCTATAATTTATCAAGTCCTGTAGCTAGCTACTGTGTATTTACCCTTTGGTAGACATAGAAACAGACATTAGATTCCAAAGGGACGGACTGTTGATTGAACTTGCTGGATGAACTGGATGCTAGGAGAAAAGCAACAAAGATGAGGATACTTTGCCATGTTTGTTGATTTAAAATTCATGGTATAGTTACCCATCAGCAATCAAACACGGCCATGGACATTCCATCATTTATATAGAGATATTTCCCCCAGCAAAACACCTCCATTTAGTTGACGGGTTTCTCATTACCACGTTTGATTACCGAAGGGTATATCATGTCAATCACGCTATAATTTTACGTGTTCACATCATATATGTAAACCCATAGACACGTATCGTTTGGGGGCCCCGCCCTGTCTCTCATATACGAATATCCAATAATCACGGGATTGACCCACCAAGAAGTCTTCCAGCGAAATCGCCATGGCCATGGCCATGGCCATGGCCGACCGAAAACATTTCGGGGTTGGGATTTGACCATCAATATCAGGTGTTTGTTTGTTTTTTTCATGTTTTAACACCATGAAACATGAATAAATATAGTGGATGAAGAATGGTTGTTTGATGATGAGTTCGGGATAGTTCGGGCGTTATACTACCCTGTATATCTTTGGGATTGTATGGGATTATCATGAGCTGGGAATCGCGTTAGCAATCATTCAAGGGATTTTCCAAGATGTTTTGGACGCAATCCAATTGGGGATGCTTGGTTTTATAGCAATGTGGTGCCCCCCAGTTATAAGTTGGTTTATAAACCCCATTAACTACAGTTATATCTACCATAAACCATAGTTATTGGACTTACTAACCAACTTAGCTAACGAACTGGGGCACCACTTTGTAGCAATCACACAACAGTACATCTAGGTCACAGGTAGTCACCGTTACACTCCGTTACACCGTTGCCGGTGAGCTGGGACTCCCAGCAATCGTTACATTTCAAGGCCAATCCAAAATTGGCACAACAGCTGTGTCACCACTCGCTGGTTTACCCGTTTGACAAAGGCAGAGTTTGTTTGCCGAAGGATGGGCAGAGTCCCATGGCATGTTTTTTGACTGATGAATTATGCAGCCTTTGGAGGTACATAAAGGCATTGTTTTGTCTACAAGCTGGGCCCCCTTAGAGCTAAGTTGGTTTTTAGCTACGTAGGTTAAGTACGGTTTATGGTAGATATGTTTATAGACAATGGCGTTTATAAACCAACAAGAACCAACAAACATGACTGTGGGGCCCACCTTTTACGCATGTATGCTCCGGATAACATTCTGAAGGTCATGGCCAACCAGTGCTGGCAATATATGTGCTGACATCTCTGAATTGGACACCCCCAATATGGAGAAATATACCCTCTGGTAATTTAACAGTTCGCTATTGAAAATGGTGATTTATAGTGGATTTTCCCATTAAAAATGGTGATTTTCTGTAGTTTTTTGTATGTTTACCAGAGGGTATGTGATGATTTTCCCATCACGGATTCCGGATGTCTGTTTTTGTTGTTCCTGAGACGAAGTCCAAAGTCATGACACAAAGTCCAACTTTCCCCAAAGTCGAAGCCGCAAGGCCTCGGAAGATGAAAAAGACGCGTGGGAAGAATGTCACTTGATGCACGGTCACAAAAAAATGCAGGTTGAAGCGTGAAAACACGGGATTTTCGCAGTAACACTGAGTAAAGATGTAAATGGTGATTGATGATTGGGTGTGGGTAGATGCCTTGAGAGAAAAGAAATATATATACATATATATACATATAAATTACATATACAGTTGCGTGTATGTGTATATATATATTGTATATATATATATATGGATATACATATATATATATGGATATACATATATATATATATATATGGTGCATATATATATATTGTGTATATATATATTATATATATATATGTGGATATGCCAGAAATTATATGAGGAAACATAATACCCAGCTGAGTTGTTTTTTATTTGCAGCGTATCTCAGTGCCATGAGACAGTGGCCCCCCGCTGTAGGTGACCCTGAGCCAGTTGCAGAGCGCGGGAGTTCGTCCTCCTCGTTGTTGATGGAGGATGTGGTGAACCCTGTGGAGCACGTGCTTCGCCTGTGAATTTCATGAAGAATCCACTCAATGAACTCAGAAACATATGGATGGTAGGATTTAATGAAGGGACATTCAAGTAACCAACAAAAATCTAAAAAAAAGTGAGCTGAACTTGCATGGCGAATGAATGAAGAAGAACGAAATATCAGATCGAAGGTTTTGCAGCCGATAAGGGGCCTTTGGAATTTGATTCTAGGGTCCTTGGTGATTTAGTTTTACCTCCCTCTGATTGTGTGATAATATATGTTTTCCAATATTTGTTTCTTTATCTATCTTATTTATCAAGGTAGGTGTCCTTGGTATATACTAGTGAAATTTATCCCAAAGGAAAAAATGTATTGGCTTAGTGTCCCTGGATGTTTCAATATTAATATCAATTCTTATCCGTCATTCAGTAGTCAGTCATGCCAAGAAGGAGATTGACAATTAGCCTCTCCATCCATTTACCCTTCTACTCGTGGAAGTACCAATCAGAACAAATGATCACCATTCGATCGTAGTTCAGATATGATTTTTTGGTTGAGTACTTAGATAGAACATATAATAAACAAGTTTTGTTATGCGACAGATTTGCGGTGGCGATGGATTTGGGGTCCCTGGAGCCAAAAGATCGGCAAAAAAAAAATGCCTAAATCTCAAATGAAGGACCCCGAATCCATTGCGGGAATAATCATGGTAGAATATAATAGTAAGGCTGTTTCCTATGTCCACATGCAAATTTCTGCACCCTGACATCCGCAAAAAAAAAACTGTTTTTTCCTAAATCCCAGGGTACAACCTTCGTATTGCCCAAGTCTAGGTGCAGAAACCTGCGCCTTGACTTAGGCAATACCCCACCAAGCACCTAGGATATCGTCATTTTTTTTTGCCTAAGTCAAGGTGCAGATTTCTGCACCCTGAGTTCGGCAAAATTATACTTGGACATTGCATTTAAAGGATATATGATGTAGACGTAGAAAAATGGGGAAATTTAGTACTTGAAAGAAAGAGTGATCATCAGGGATGATATTGGTGGCTTTATACCAAAGATATATGGGGGCACCACCCTAGAAGAAACATGAGCGTGGTTGATACCTATTCCATTTTAATCCAGCAATTGGTCAGATACCCTTCAAGGGAAATGGTAGTGGACCCCTGAAAATCCAAAGAATATGATAGAACAAATAATCGTAATCGATACTGGGATGATACAAATTTAATCAACAAATTGGTTGCCTAAGAGTGAAAATAATAATGCACATATTATCCATGAACATGGTAAACAAAACAAGTAGATACATTAAATAACCAATGGTAAGATGATACCCATGTAATCAATCAATTGGTTACCTCATAGGGGAAATAATAAGCTACCTATAATACAATTCAATTCCACCATATATAAAATATTTGGAAAGACACAAGAATCCATTTCCAGAGACCCCAGATCAATTACAAAACCTTATCGGATGGGTTTATCAGCCAATAAATCTGGTTTGTCGTACTGGTATGATTATGTATGATTTATCTATGATTTATGTATGATTTATGTATATATGAAATGAATCATAGGAGCCATCACATAGTCATCAATTAAAAATTGGCAAAAAAACATGGTGATGGGTCGGATCCACCCAGTGCTGTCTGCCGAATCCGGATGAACTGGGACTGGATGGGACTGGGATTCACATGATTCACGTCCCAAAGAGAGGATCTATCGGGATGAGACAAGATTTATACGAATGGTAGTGTCCATGATATATACAAGGTGGTGCCCCCTAGATAGCTAAGTTGATTTATAACTCCAATAACTATGGTTTATAGGTGATATATCTATAGTTAATGGGGTTTATAAACCAATTTATAACTAGGGGCACCACCTTGTACCCTCTGGTAAACTGTCACATAACGAACTGGAAAACCCACCATTTTCTAGCTGGGTAAATCCACTATTTCGACTGGGCCATGGCTTCAATAGCAAACTGTTAAATTATCAGGCCGGGTACAAAATTTGGGTGTAATATATGTGTTGTTCGGAGCATTTTGGGGCCATCTTGGCGGGAATGGTGTGCCCGATTTGGTCTCCGACCGAATACCATGGGTATCCATGGCTAAGCCAACGCGTAACGGGGCCCTTAGATACAACTCCCGCCTGGATGTCAGTCGTTTTTTTTTTTAGTCGCAGGCCTGTGGCGGAGGCATTTCAAATTCATGGGTAATGACACATTTTGGCGATGCAAAGTTTATAAGAGCCATTTCTTGGGACTATGGATTTTTGCGGGTTGCTTGGTCAGTTGCAGATTATGAACGGGAACTGGTAAGAAGCCCTGGTGCAATCGACATGTCTTTCTTCATGGGTGCTTTGTGGGCCAGTATTGTTTATTGATTGATTGGCATATAGTAACCTTCAAAAGATGGAAAAGGAACTTATCACGAATTGTTTTAGTAGCATTTTACTTGTCCATCTGTTTGGGGATGACTTTGGCTATACATAGTATACTCATATAACAGATACAAATAGTAGTTCCAAATTGAATTTCAATCCCATCTCAGTACACCCATGTTCAAGAGATAGCTCAACCAGCAGCCAGTTTCCATGTCGGTTCATATTCACATCCCCACTTTTTGTTGCTGAGTTATATCCTCGTTCCTCATTGTTTTCTTATGCAAGGTCATGTTATCTACCCTGAATCAAATCAAACACCTATTTCGGTAGTAAAAATGGAGGTGCCGGGTAAGAACAGTTTTAGGCCTGTTTGGAGCTGACCTTAAAAATAACATCAGAAAGAAGAACGCCGATACTTCTGAAAAACGTCACTAATGAAATCAGGCATCCAACCTACATTTTCATGGCGTTTGGGGCCACCTCAACAAATATCAACTACTTTGGTTTGTCTGAATCCAGGGAAACCATGGGTACCCTAAATCCTCTGGTTTACGATCAGTTTCAGGTTGACCGCCCGGTGCTACGAAGGATGAAGCCGCTCGGAGGGCAAAAAATGGGATGGTCACCGGCAAAACTGGGGATATGTATGATATGAAGCATCAAAAAGCACTGTTGAATAGAGATACTAGAGTCAAAGATCAGAATCAAAATTAAAGGTGTTTAATAAACGTTTAACCATCAAACATGAGGATGTTTAGGTGAGAATTCAAGCATCAAACAAATTTGATCCAGTGTGCAGACTAGTTGGAGGTCACTGAAACAGCTGATGCTGGGATTTTTGTCCTCCACTCCTGAAATGATCCAGCCACCAGCAAAGATTTTTCATCTCATATTAAGCTGAGCTTGCGGCTCAACCACCTGCATTTATGCTATTCATGGCTATTCTATTATGGCTGTAAACTTTGGCTAGTTAGTAATTGATTGATGGCTATGCCAGGTTCTTTCCCGTGGTTTTCCAAGCTTTCTTTAGGATTTTCTCAATGTTAGAGGGTTTTACCAGCTATCAAACCTCCATGTTTGATGGTGTTTCCAGGTATAAACCTCCATGTATAGTGGATTTCCCACTCAAACTTCTAAATTTATAGATGATTTTCACATTTTCAGACCCCTTTGTTTTCCATGGATGAAACCCCCCATCTTAAAGATGGCTTTCATCAGAGCCGCGGCCTTCCCCAAACCGTGACACCGAGGATTCCCTTCGTCATTGCAGCTCCCACAGTTCCAGGATTCCCAGTGTGTCTCCGGTCCAAAGGCTTCGAGGACCGGACCCGAAAAGTCGACCGACTTCTGGGGACCGGACTGGGGACCGTTTTTTGGACCGTTGGACGGACAGTCGGAGAGAGCTAGGTGAATTGGTGAAATGAAAGGCATAAATATGTATAAATATGTGTATAATATGTGTATAATGTAGATATATTATATCATAATATATATATATATATGTGTGTGTGTGTCTCCTGGATAAATTATATAATCTACAAAAATATTGTATGATATTGTATCCACAAGCAGTTCCAGACAATTGGGGCTATCCCTAAAGGGCTATCCCTAAGAAGCCGTGGAAGTGCGTGCATCTTGGTGTCTGAAAGATGATTTTCCATAGGGGGTGGCCAAGAGTCAGAAAAGAAGTTTGCTGACATAACTGACATAACTAGGTAGCTAATGCTACATAGTTACTTGGGTTTACGTACACCAACTGTTTCTTATCTGCAGGGTACCACCACCTTGCATGCAGCGCATTCTTTCACAAAAGAACATCATAAAACGGGGTTCTCAAACCTGTTACAGGTACATGATAGCCACGTTTGCAGGGAAAACTGATAATGTGAGCTCTCTATTTAGCCAATTTACTAGCTGGGGTGGCCAGGCTTTGCTCCCACTGGTTCTGGGAGAAGCATTCCCAGATGGGCCGAACTCTTCAGGGTGGTGAATTAGTTGTTTAATCAACTATCTAGCTACAATACACATATATGTTGATAATATGTATATATATATATATTACATTATATATATATACACGTACATATATATATATACATTTTATTATCATCATCTATTATTTAATATCTGTGTATACATCCAGCCAGGTCAATGGACACCCAGCGGTTTGGTGAATCGACGGTGAATCGCCAGGAGTTGTTTGGTCCCTCGATGCATGTGAAAGTTGGCTGTGACGCCCGAGAGGTGCTGAGACCCTCTGATCCGAAGGAAACCAAGGCCAGATCCGATGCCAAGATATCACGTTAGAAGTTAGAATGGTATGTACGTATGTTAATATTCATTATTCTATGATACAATGTATGATATATATATATATACATCGAACACCTCTTAATTTCCATACGACGAGCTTGACTTTCAAATTTTCGATATGGACAGATGTGTTCCTGAGGAATGAATACAGATCAAGCAAAAACAACATTAGATAGTAATTTAACGCATATAGTTTTCCATAGCTAGTATCAATGGATTACTATCTGTCTTGGTAACACCATCCTACAATCTGATAGTAGATAACGGTATATTAAATAACAATATTATCAACTAAAATTAAATGTACCGCAACTAAAATTGCGCGGTAGATGTTGTTACTATAATTGTGGCCTGTGATCCCAAACTGAAACCCTTTGCACTTGATTGTTGCCTATCACCTTTGACCAGCTTGCTAAGGGAGTGGGGATTGCCGAAAACCATGTTCATTTCTTCATTTGCAAAAGAATAATTCTTTGCCTTTGATATCCGTTGAAGCAATTCCTGACATTTTGACAAACGGAAAATCATGCTTCTCACACGGCTACATAATTTGCTCTTTTTGAAGCGAGCAGTTCCGGTCCACAGTATCCATGTCTCTTACATCACAGCCATCACAGCTTGTAAACTTATGACAGTACATCAATATCTCAATGATTATCAATAAATTGAAAGGACAAGATGAGTGGTTTAGTCCAGCCCAAGATCTACCTGCTATGGCAAGTGCGGCAAGTAGCAAATCGAGAAACATGTTGGGACATCTCTTGCAACAAATTAAGAGTGGTGGAGATGGTCATAGGACTGAAATTGTTGACAGCGGCAATTCTACAGTCCCATGTTGGAAAGATGGCAGAGCACTGTGCTTTGAGACTTTTCACCTGCCATGTCACAGGTGTGGCAGAGTTTTTTCGATTCCATCATGGAGGGCCAGTTCTATTTAAATGAGAACGTCGATAGTCCGCTGGACGGCTACTTGTTCGAAAGTGGGAAAAGCCTGGGGATCAGAGCGGTTTATGGACATTTGCAGTGGAATGTGTGAAACTTGTGAAAAGGATTGAAAAGGCGTCAAAAGGCATGCAAATAGCAAAGGAGAGGCTAGGCAGCCAAGTATACACTTTATATTATATAGTGATTTTAATTTTGAATGTATTGAAATTAATTGAAATTTAAGTCTGTCTTTTAAGGTATTCCAGAGCAATTAATTGATAACATCATTGAATCATCAACAATTTCTCGCATGTCTAAGATGTGACACAGGGTATTGCAATTCATTACAATGTAATATCATGTATTATTTGGCCATGGTATGCAATGCAATCACAGACAATATTCATACAATCAGTTGTAACACAACATATTCACCATTTGAGGAAAATTATACATATAAATATATACATACATACTATGTATATATATATATATGTTGGCAGTAGGGACACTCCGTCAACTGACAAAATCGGCAGATCCCATTCCATCGACTGACACAGGTTGGCAGTTGCCAGATAATGGCAGATTACCCGCGGGGGAGATTGCCTTCATACAGACCTTCCGGGGAAGATTCGGGAACCCCATAGAATGCTTAGTGTCTCTTGGCCAAGATTGCAGCTAAGTCGAAGCCGTCAGCGGATGAGCGAACAGCACTACTCAGTCAAGGTGTTTTATTGGCACAAGTTGAATTCATCACTGTTATACACAGCACGTTGCCACAATAGGATTTGGTGTGTATACTGTGTTTATCTGTGCATGTATATATGTATATTATACTGCACTATGTATATTGGTTGAACCACAATTTGATCGCTCAAAGCAAAACAGTGTATCCACTGCTTCGATAGGCCATACATAAGCCACCAGATTCACTAGCCGTTTGACAGTTTCTCCTCGGCCGTTTGCCATATTTAGCTCCTGGTGAATTCCTTATGGCTGTTGATTAAACCCTACCATTTGATGTTGGTTCACCACATGAAGGACCCCTTCCGGTTATGTGAACGTTGAGTTGCAACCCCTTGCGATGGTCGATGGTCGGAAGTTGGATTATATTTCCATATCGGAGGATGGAACAAAAAAAAACCACATACCCATGGGGATGGATTCCTCTCATTTCATTGATGGCCATGACCCAAAAACCATGGTTTCATTTGACCATGATACATCTAAAGTGCTTCGATACATACCTCTGGTAAACAAACAAAAAGCTATTGAAAATGGCCATAGAAATAGTGGATTTACACATTCAAAATGGTGATTTTTCATAGTTATGTTACTATAGTTTACCAGGGGTTTAAATATTAGGTAGCCTTGTTGTACCCCAAGTTGCTTATCGTTTGGACACCCTTTCCTTGCGATGTTCGAACGCTATGTTACTGCCCTCTTTGTTGCGGGGGGGACACTGGCTCCGATTGATTTGCCCTAAAGTCACTGATGGATTCGAAACGCTGCTTCCCTACCCTACAGTAGATTAACTTTATTATAATCATGTTTGTAAGGACACCATGAATCATTGTTTTCCATTTCCATGCTAGCTCATTGAGGGTAAATTATAACGACCTCACTGCGAGGTCACTGGAATGCTGGTTGTTACAGGCATTTGATAAAGTCGTACCTGTACCTGTTTCAGGGAAAAACCATTGTACGGTTGGGGAAGTGTTTCGGAAAAGTCATGCCTTTAGCAAGAACGCAGGGGAACTCTGGAGTCTGGTTATGTAACCCTTTTTCTTATGAGGCATCGTCTAGGCATCGCTTTGGCATCGTCAGGAGCACGCAACCTTGTTGCAGCCACCTCGCTGCGATTTGCTGACGTTGAGTTGAAAAACACGATAAAACTACGTGTGTGCACTCGAGCGCGCACAATGCATGTCATATCATCTGCTCATGCAATCCATCTCATGTCATGCCATGTAAGTCACATCCGCACATGTAAGGCCGGTTACGTTATCTACGTAATGTTTTCTCATGCAGGCAGGGAAAGTAAGTCCCCCATCCCCTTCGAAGCAGGGAAAGTAAGTCCCCCATCCCCTTCGACAAACGTCTTTCCGGAATAAGAAACAGAGGTGCAGAATCCCAGCATTTACCTGCAGAAAGAGCATGTAGGCATGACTTATGCATGACTTAGGCATGACTTCTTGGATACAGCGTTTGCAATGGCAAATGCCATTCAAAAGCATGCTAGGCATGACTTAGATGTGACATTGTCGTTTCCCTGTAGGGGGTAACTATCCCAAAAAGTCCTCATTTCAGGTTAGTGAAATATTATACCAGTTATCCAAATATATAAGTCCTATACATCAGGTTGGATGGTTGATATTGCTGAGATATTTCAAACATAGTGCCTGGATGTTCAGCCGGGCCATTTTTTAAAACCGCCAGCTCCCATCTACTGAGTTCCCGAAAGCGACGGTTAAAATATCCAACTTGTGTGAAACTCTAACACAGCCACAAACCATGCAATCCCTTCAATTTCAGCAACATTCTACTACTATCTACTACTCATCTATTCACGGTTCCCCAACCATCAACGATCTACGAACAAATTCGGATTCCGAGTCATGATTTCTTGTCATGATTCCAAGTCTTTTTGTTTCAATTCCCCCCCAAAGCCCTACATGCTTTCTGTATTCCCCAAATGCACAGCCTCTCCTTTCATGGAGTTTTTGCGACATTTCCAAGTCATGTTTTAAACTTCCCCGCCCCAAAGCCCTACATGGACCTCAGATGCAGATAGAAAAAAAGTTTCAGCAAGACCTTTCTATGATAGTGAGGCGGGCAGCAGGAGGAGGTCTTTCTTTTTGATTCAACATGGCCACTGCAGAGATTGCGATCACATGGCCAGTTTCCGACGATAAGCTACAATAAGCTACAAGATTTGGTATTGAAAAAAATCACGTTATTTGGCTATGAGTCAAAACCCTGGTACCTAGTGAACCCCAAAATAGCTGGTAAATGGATGTTCATCCCATTAAAAATGTATCTATAGGTATTGACCCATACCCATTTCTCAACAAACTGATCATCAGAACATTCCCCTTTTTCACTTCCCCAACGAATCCCAGACATTCCCGGAAGCACGACGAAACGCCGCGTTTCACCCAGCTACCTGAAGCACGTGGAGTTGGACGATTGCCCGTTCCTTCTGGCATTGCATGCCTATCTGCCCAGCGAAGCGGAACAAGATAGTGCCTTGGGCTGATGGAATGGATGAAAACTATGCGTATTGGGTAAGATTGAACTATACTGTGATATATATTATACATCATGTATCACATATATATATATATTATGTACAAAGAAAACATCATTATGTTTGTCCATACATATTTAAAATATATATATATATATAAATGACGCAAATAGATACATATGGGCAAAGACCTCAAAGGTTCATGCACAAACCTCTCATGGAAAGCGATATGGTGAACTACTTAAAGCGATACCATGATTTGATGGTGAAGTCGATAGGTGTTTTTTTATGTTTTTTCGTATGATAACCTTCATTGTTTTGTCGTATTCCTTGGATGTGAATCCAGGGGCTCCCAAAAGACCTAGAGGTGCTCCCAAAAGGCCCAGGGCAGCCAGAGGCCCAATCCATCCCTGAAGTGGCGCACGTCAATGTTGCGTCAATGTCTTGAAGCATACGTATACTTGGGGTGATCCAGCCTGGCCTCGAAACCTACCGTTGATCGTAGCTTTGATTTAAAGATCCAAAGAGATGAACAGAGCCTGCAGAAGCAGAAGGCACACAACAGTGCAAAAACCAAGCTGTTCTGAGGGAAATTTCTTCCGCACTTTGAAGACAAACAATGGACAGCAGACTGCTGGCCATGAAGTTTGCTGATGTGGAGATGAATGGAAATGGATCTCTAAATCAATAGCCACTGTTTGACATGCTACAAAACCATGTAAAGCGATATAGCGAACTACCTAAAACAATAACTTTTGGTCATGACCACCGTTGTGAGCCTTAGTTTTGGTCCCTGCTCATAGTTATTGATGTATATTGATGTGTATATATAAATATATTCGCATGCACATATGTATGTGTATGTATATATAGTATATATAATATTTCTATGCGTTCACATCCCACTAGTGCAAATGAAATGTTTTGTCGCCACCTCATGCAATTTCTTGAGTAGTCCACGGGGTGCTATGACCGGGAAATCCCCAGACTAGCCTAGCTATGGAGGTTTAGTTCATTGGGAAAATCATCGAAATATAGCTGCTGGACTTTCCTTTCCAGCAAGCCATGTGACTAATGATAGGACGGTACAGGAGTGAAAGGTGGTTGAGGCTCTGGGTCTCTCTCTCTCTCTCTCTGTCTGTCTCTCTCTCTCTCTCTCTCTCTCTGTCTGTCTCTCTGTCTCTCTATATCTATCTCTATCTCTATCTCTATCTAGCTATTTAGCTATCTGACTATATGTCTTCCTGACTATCTGACTAGTTGTCTAGCTATTTATTCTATTTCTCTATCTGTCTGTCGATCTGTCTATCTGTTTACATGTGTTTTTCTGTCAAACTGTTTTTCTGTCTGTCTATCTATCTTTCTGTCTACCAATTTTTGTGTCTATCCACTTTTCTGTCTATCCATTTTTCTGTCTATCCATTTCCGGTCTATATTTCTGTATATGTTTGTCTATATTCTGTCTATATTTCTGTCTATCTATCTGTCTACCAAACTATCTATTTGACTCAATATCAGCCGTATCAATATTACGGTCCATACCCATATACATATATGTTATCTATCAATCCATCTCATCAGGGGGGACGGGTGTTTCCAACCAAATCAATGCAGTGCCGCCTCCCATCGCATCTTCAGGTAGCCGTGAGAAACTGTTTGCTAGGCAGAGAAGCCGTGGGCGTGCAAAAAACAATTTTCGAGGGGGGTCCTAATGGCTGGGGGATCCCTTGGTTGCCATGGCTTAAGCTATACTAGGTCATGGTCAACCATGACGACTGGATAATTTGGAGGCTGGCCCCACGACCTTGGAATGCGATATATGGTTTGATGAACTACTCTGAATTCATACCAGATTCTTGTGTCTTTTGTTATTGCTAAACATGCTGCCCATGTCCAGTAGCATGCGGTAACATGCTTTGATAGGGATAAAACAGAGTTTTTCTATGTTTGCCTTTCAACATTTTGCTGTCTAATTAGTTGTTGTTTTCGATGTACTGTAAATGTACCTTCTACTTGCCTACAGCATTTATTATGTTTAAGTTTACGTTCAATTTGTTTTGGAACCGAAAGAGCAAAAGAAAAAACATAGAAAAACACAAAACAAAAAAACAATGCTGTCCAGATTTGTTTGCTAGATCCAAGTAGTCCCAAGATATTGTTTTGCGTTTGTTTGAATTGTTTTTTCTCGTTTGTTTGATGTGCAATAGGAATCTCAAGTGGAAATTGTTCCAGCAGCAGAATCGTACTTTACTAGGCATTTCTGCGTCCAAAGTTTTGGAAGCAACACATATCCTTGTCAAACCAACGAAAACTGTTTGAAATTTATGATGCCATCCACATCCACCACAAATGGATGAAAGAAAAGGTTAACACTTTTTTTTACACCTTTTTTTTTAGTTTTCGGATGTTTTCGGCCTTTCTGTCCCTTTTTTTTTGGACTTTCTGTCGCTGGTCATCCATTCCAATCCCATAGGCCCATTCCGCCCATTTTCACGTTTTGAAAACCATCAATGGGAATGACGACCAGGATCCAACAGATTGGAGGTACGTAAACGTACCATATTGTTGGCCATATTTGGGGGTTCCCCTGAAATTTAGGAAAAATAGGCCTTATATATGGTAGGTACCTCCATTTTAGGATCCTGAAATTCCCATTGAATCAATGTCCATATTTTTTCACAATTGATTGACCATTATCAAGAATTGTTAACCATTATTTGTCATTATGAACCACCATTAACCGTTATTCAGCCAGAAATGAGGATAATCTTTGGGGAATATGTCCAAGTGGTCCCCTTGAGCAAATCCAAGTTGATCGAAAACATTCGAGAAACCCATATTTTTGGGAGAAGAAACCTAAGAGCATCCACTGGTTACCCTCTGGTAAATTCATATAACTATGGAAAATCACAATTTTTCATGGAAGAAAAACAACTATTTCCACTGGGCCATTTTCCAGTTCGCTATGTTAGTCATTACCAGATCGAGGGTATGTGTATATTAGCATCCTAATATTCGTAGGATTTTCCATGAAATAAACCATCCATTTGGGTGGATCCACATCGATCCACATCGCAGGCTCAACGCCCGTCTCGATGAAGTGATTGCTGAGATGGCGTCAGAGTATGTGGCTTGGGATGGTCTGGGCTATCTGGGCTATCTGCATATTATATATATATATATATATTTATTTATGGATGAAATATATTATATAAATGTGCATATATATATATATGGATAATATGTATATATGGATTATATGTATATATGTATGTATATATATATATGTATGTATGTATGCCTGAGAAAAACAGACTTGTTGAGCATTGTTAAAAGAAGCCTGTTGGTTGGTGATTCGTTTGGGTTATACTGCCCAATATATTTATATATTTATATACATACATATGTATATTGCTGATCATTATAACCTATGAAGTGAGTCTCTATTAGCAAGGCAATAAAGGGACGACAGAGGTTTTGAACACTGTTCAATTAAACTGTGGATTGGATTCGCCAAAGCAGGAATAGACCAAGAATATTTGGTCGGTTCCCAACCAAATAGTCGTCAAGACTGGATAAGCTGGTTGGTGGTTTAAGAAAATGCTGATACATTTATATATGTTCCATGCATTATTCTATGTATTATTAATAAAACAAAACAGATGTATCTAGAGAATCTGGGTGTATCTGAAGTGTTGCGAGCAACCCTGAAAAACTGGATTGGATTCTGTAGGACTGTAGGACCACGTGTCGGTGTGCCAGTTTTGAAAAGCAGCAAATCTGCGTCCCGGGATGAATTACACTTTGATCTTTGAGATACAGATGATATCAGATATACATGGCTGATCATGGCTGGTGCTTTGAAAAATGATTTTTCAACCATACTTGGGATGAGTTGAGATGACTATATTCGAAGTTAATCCACTGGTTTGCTGTCATTTTAACCCATAGCAGCTCGTATGATCCATACGGAGTATCGTATCAATGCATCAGTGTAGCAAGCCCAAAAAGATAGAATAAGTAAAATTCCACTGAAATAGTGGTAAATTACATGTTTTTTTGGGAGGGGAATATATGCATATGCAGCATATATACATATATATATACACATATTTACATATTATATCATATATGCAACCATTCTTTGTTTTACTTTGGTTTTGCAAGCTTCCAACATTCTGAGACGGCCTTGTCAAAAAAGGGGCCCTTTTTTTCGCAAAGGTGTACTACGCGCCCATGCGAAGACAAACCAAATATCATCCTCTGTGAGAACCGAACCCCGGGACCGCTTGGGAACCAGCAGATGCACACGGGAGATTCGATGCAGATCGGCATGCCGATCGGTGGTTTGTCCAGACAAATGGTAGGATCATGTAGGATCCAACGAAACAAAAATACATCTGCGAAAACTGATGACAAACTATATAAGTTGGGGGTACTGGTACCATATTGTCAGACAAACCCCTAAATCGCCGATTGCATCAAAAAAACAACAGTTGTGAAAATTCTGAAATATTGTTCGAGCTGGCAGAAAAGCTTTGCTGTTTCGATATAGCCTTCCCGGTGCACGTGACAAGGAACATACTTGTCAATGCACAGTCCTTAACCCAAGGTTTCCTGGGATACTACTGGTGCTCGCCATATTGGCGACGTCACTACGACCACTCTTCCCTATATAGTCAAAAGGCGGAACTTGGACTGCCAAATGTCCAAGTCGATTTGTGGTTTGCATCATGTTGGCCCAGGTCAGGCCACTACTATTATTACCCTATCTGGTTGGTGGTTTCAAACATTTGGATGATTTGATATTATTTGTCCCATCATCTTGGGAATGTCATCATCCGAACTGGCGAAGTCCATCATTTTTCAGAGGGGTAGGTTGAAACCACCAACCAGCCATTTCGAATTCGATCGTCTTAGCGAAACGTGAAATGATGCGGCTTTTTTGAAATCACCTGTAGGGAATCTCAATTAATTGGTTTCAGAGGGCTAATCGTCAACCACCAACCAGTCATGATTATTAACCATCATTAACCATCATTAACCATATAATAACCATGGTCTTAACCATTTATTATCAGTATATTAACCATCATTAATGTAGGTCAACCACCAACCAGCTATTGGGCTTTGAGCCGTGATCCTGGATCTTTGGCATTCATTTTCCGCCATGAACATCCGTGAGCGACCATCGGAGATTCCATGATAGTCACGCCGTTCAGAAGGAAAAATACGTTGTGTGCACAGGCAACATAATTACATATTGTTGTATATAATCCGTATTAAAGTATACGTGTTTGTACCATACATATAGATCATCATATATCTATTGTATGATTATACTTGATATGATGGTTATTCTTATATGATTTGTTTTGTCATGTCATGTTGGGTCGTATTGCGCTATGTAATGTGTTTTCATGCTTTGCTATCTTATTATAATATTCGATGTTCAGCATGCAGGCAATCCTGTGCATATAGGATTCAAATCAAATCCAAGAGTATACAGCTCTCAAATGGTCCCAGATGCGGTAAGTCAGAGACACACTCGATCGGTGGATTTGGGAAATGATTGGGATTGTATTGACCAGGTGGCCACCTTCTGGCAATCAAACCTGGCATGTACTACAGCTTTGTCGTTGTTCTGTTACCCCATTTGAAATTGCCATCCCTTTTTATGCTCTCAGTTTGTTCACTTGTCTCACAGTTTGAGAAATGGGAATGGACCCAAAAAATAGATGGTTTCAGATTTCAGGACGTTTCAGATCCAATTTGGAATGACCAGCCATGATAGCCATGTGGGAGTCGTGATATGTCGTGATGACTCACGGAAGCTCCGGTCCCTGTTCTGAGAGCTGGGGCTCGGCCGAAGGGCATTCAACTGCCGATTTCGGCCAGTCCAGTGGTTTAAACATTTTGCCAAAGGAGCCGAAGGAACAATGCCGGCCATGGCTCGAAAGCAGTATTCTGAAAACATTGCGATTCAAAATGCTGGATTTTTTTGGCTATTCATGTTCTTTAAAAACCAGAGAATTTCTGAGCCACCTTTTTATCGACCTACCGGAGGTGAGATTCTCCAGTAGGGTCAAAGAACTATATCTATAAGGTGAGGCCCCAGGCCCAACTTGAGTTATAAGTTGCTTGCCCATCAAGATCCATCAAGTATAGTTACAATATGTATTAATATGTTATCATCCCCTCATAACCCCTAGTTTAACAGTTCTGATTAGCCATGATAAGTCAACTTAGCTACACGGCCCTGGGGGCCTCACCTTGCTATATCCGCCAGGGCCGGCTGCTGGTGATCGCAAAAAAAATCTGGATGTTGGGGATTGGAACATCTTTTGGACAATCTGGATCAATTGGGCCATACCATACACATCATGAAAAATTGGTTTACCCTCTGATTTTATGGGAGAAAACAATGGTGATTTGATGGTGTTTAATGGTGGTTTACCCTCTGGTTATGACTAACAGTTTGCCATGGAAGCCATGACCCATTTATAGATGGTTTACCTATTCAAAATGGTGATTTTCCATGGCGAACTGTTAAACAAGCAGATGGTATTCATGTTTATTCATTTACGATGATTATCTCGACATGGCCCAGGAGTCCCAGAGGGACTCTCCAAAGATTCAACAAGGGTCGGCGCCCCCGTTTCTGAGCCATACCTTGGCGAAGATGTTTCTAACCAGGCGAAGTGTTGGATTTATGGTGATTTGTTTCAGCATCTGCTAATCATATGTCTTTTGCGTTCGGAATGATCATGATATTATATTGTCATATATTGTCACAGTATTGTCACAGTTATTGAAGTCCATTTTGACATAAAATCGAATCATAGTCAGTAAAGGCATGCTGATTTGCTTTTTCCCCTGACATTGAATCGGAGGTTTGATGCCGGACCCCCAAACCGTTTGGGCGTTTTCCCACAAAAAGACACGACAAAAGCATAATTTTCTGATTGATGTGGTTAAAACGTTTTGCCATTTTGACCACCCATTTCCCTGGGAATGGTAAGTAACCATACCACCTTTTTTAATTGGCATAAATGGTGATTTTCCTGGGGGATAGTGCGTTTATGGCAGCCAGTTAAGAACCCACAGCCATCAGTTGATGTTTCGCGATGTGATCCTCAGCAGCCCCTTCAGGTGGCAAGGCCATAGATGTCCCATTGTTTTACGCATCGCTTCATTGGGTAAATAATCGGTTCATTGGGTAGAAAATGGGATGGTTTGGGTAGTACCCTCTGGTAATTTGTTACATAGCTGGACATAGCTATTGAAAATAGCACATAGAAATAGTTGGTTTACCTCTTAAAGATGGTGTTTTCCAGTTCCTTATGTTTCGTTTGCGGGGAGAAACTTCCAATGCCACGTTTGATGACCGGGATAGGCCAACAAAAAGAAGCTGGTTTTGATGGAATACCATTGAATTCTGGCGAAGCGTGCCGTTATTTAACGGCGTTTGGGATATCAGCCGAGCCAGCGGGACAGTGAGAAGGTTCCCACCAGATCAAATCACGATTTGGTGTCACAGGCGCATTCATAGGAGGTGGATGTGACCCAAGAGATCGGACCCCTATCCATTTGGCATATATGTCCTGACATGTATACCCTCTCTAAATCTCTCTAAATCACTCTAAATCACTCTAAATCACTCTAAGTCACTCTAAATCACTCTAAGTCACTCTAAGTCACTCTAAATCACTCTAAGTCACTCTAAATAACTCTTAACCATTCTCAGCCTCTGTGGGCCTTGGTTTTTGCAGTGAAATCCCTTGAAAATCGATCATTGCCATCACATGAATCTGGATTTTTGTGGCTATGTTTAAGCTTATGTTTTGGGGCTCCCATGGTCTTCCCAAATCTCTTATCCTAAAGAGAGCAACCCACAGAAATTGAGACCAAGGGTCGCCACAAGATGCCACAAGAGCAATTCAAGTCTTGGAGTGGAAAGGGGTCAGATGCCTGAAACCTCGTAAATAACAGTGTTTGGGGCATGTGACCCCTATCCACTTATGGGGCGCCCCAAAATTGTCATGGGATGTGCCCACACAGCTCATGTCGGGTACCCAAAATGGGACTGGGGAGCTCCAGAAAAGTTTAGCAGCAGGGAGTGGGAATTTTGAGATTTGACTACATTCAAGGTGGTATCCCAGGACTTGGGGGCTAAACCTCAAGTGGAAGGCGGTCACATGTAAGCTGTCACATCAGTTCCCTATGAGCATTGGCGCGTTTAGAATCAATGCTGCAGATGGATCAAAAACGCACCAAAAGCTGCGGATCCGGATCGCTGAACTTGAACTTGAACGTGGATCATGTTCTAAAGATATATTTAATCAGCATATAATCATCAATGTTGTGTGATATAGTCTATGTACATTAGATAATAATATTATGTACTGAAAGAACTCAGCGTGCGAGTATGGGGTTGAAAACATGATGGAGGAATGGCAGGCAACCAAAATGAAAGAACTCAGCGTGGCAGTATGGGAAGCAGGATGGAGGAATGGCAGGCAATCAAAACGAGAAAGAATTCAGCGTAGCAGCGTAGCAGCTTAGCAGTATAGTACTCAGTATAGGGTTGGAAACGCAAAGGAGCAGTGATAACGAAGGCAAACAGCGTGGCAGCAAGGACTTGGAAGCGTGGCAGTAGGCAATGGCAGCAGGACAGACAGCGTGGCAGCAAGGACTTGGAAGCGTGGCAGTAGACAGTGGCAGAAGGACTAAACATGTGGCAGTAGTGCTGTGGAGCAACCCAGGTTTCTGACAATTCCAGGCACAGGGAAGGGGTCAAAATCATGGTAGAGAAAACACCTAAGATAATATGCATTACAGTATATTATATACATATATTATATAGATTCTGCCTCGACCTTCTCATACTGCAAGTGGGTAAAGTAGGGGAGGGGGCCTATGCGTCCATTGCGCCTAAAAACCTGCCGGGAAAACAAAAAACACAGGGAAAAGCCAAAGACTTTAGACACCGAAACCCTTACAGCCTATTAATTATACATATTAAACCCTGAAATCTTAGAAACCCAAAATATGGTGTTGACGAAACAGGATTTTTGCGCGCATGTATATCATGTAATATGTATGTGTACATACCTTTTACATATATCTATTGCCATGCTGGTGACATTGTCTCCATCATTCTCCATCATTTCAATCCTCACGAGACATTGCCATTACATAAATAGCAATGGAAAATCACCATTTTTCATGGGAAAATCCACTATTTCTATAGCCATTTTCCATTGCTATGTTAGTTCACCAGAGGGTATGAAATAATGAATGACAATCATAACTCCATGCAGGCCGTCATTCACATCAATTTTCCTTCAAAGACATGCTTTTCTCCCCTTTTTCAGCCCCACGTTCACTCGCTGTGCCAAGGTGGTAACCGTGATAACCTCATTTTGATGGTGGTGAGCCCTGGGTCCTGCAGGTCCTGCAGTTCTCAGATTGCCTGGGAAAGCTTGGATGGAACATCTGGTGATTTCAGCAAGGCATGATCCCATTCTCGGTGTCCCAGCGTTGTTATTGCCCATCTAGCAATACTAAACCTCAACCAGGTAGAATGAATTACAATGACCATAAATCAAAAAAAAACGGAATCAACATCTCAGTAACTCGGGTTTACGGTGATTAGAACTATAATTAGTTAGATGCGCAATAAACCAGCTGATCTAAACCGTGGGCCCACCATTATGTACCCTCAATTGATTTTGCTGATTTGGTCTTGTCCAGAGAAGTTTGCTGAAGTGTCAAAGCCTGATAAAGCCTCTCCTGTCTGCGATGAGGATGAGCAACAGATTTTTTGGCAATCGTACAGGCGATTCTGTATCGCAGAAGCCGAAATCTTCAGAGTACATCAGCCAGATATGCTGTTGTGGATGCAGGACCTTGTATACGTAGCGGTAGGCTGCGGTCTATTCAGATGGTGCTGTTGCGAGGACATGGCGCGATGCTGCATCCAAAAGTCTGGGGTTCACTGACTTCAACGGTTCAAAGACCAACAAGAACACACATGAATGCTGGCTTGTGGAAATATGACATCACCACTAGTTTGTGCATGTTTATTTTTATTTGCCAGTATAATCTGGGTTCTTAACTGGCTGCCATAAACGCACCATCCCCCAGGAAAATCACCATAAATACGACTCGGTGGTATAAACTATAAACTTACCATTCCCAAAGACTTGGGATGAAAACATCGCCGGAAACTGCTGGTATCAAGCCTTTCCCACATTGGAGGTTGATGATGAAAGCGTCTCCCACATTGGATGTGCATCCCGGTTTGTAAGTGGTTAGTACTATATCAAACATTGTTATATCTATCTATATATATATATATATCTATATCTATATATATGGAATATCCCAAAAAATATCCCACTCATACAGATGGTACATGTGCACAACCGTTGGAATCAGTCGGGTTTGGCCCTTGGTTTCCCTTTAAACAGAGCTTAAAACTCAAAGAATCAGGAGATGTTAATGCCAGCAAGCCCAATATATTCAGTGTAAGCTTTTCAAATGTGTCAATATGTGTGTTTTCATGTTCTCTCTCTCTCTATCTCTTTCTTTAAATATATATATATATCAATATGTATGTATGTTTAATATTATAATATATATACATATAATATATATATATATATGTATATATATATAATATATATTATATATATATAATATGTTTATGTATATATATATATATATATGTACTGTAGATGTTATACATATATATATATATAAATATACCGCCCCTGGCTTGCCCGGGTACTTTTTGTGTTATCATGTGTAACCGTTATTATGTTCATATAACTTGAATTCATGCTGCAGTGGTTAAAACTATAAATTATACTTGTTCTGTATATATATATATATTTATGTAATACCTATATTTATGTATTCATTTATTTACATACTGTATACAAACATGCATGTAGCATTGAACTCATATCTTGGTGAGCCCCGACAGCCATCCCAACGACTGAAACCAGCGGTGCTAAACAAATGCTGGACGTCCGGGTACATGAGGATAGGCGCCTGCGCCTGGAACCCCTGGTGAACAACCCAACAAAGTTGATGTTAGTTATGGTTATCTGGTTGGTGGCTTGGAACATGGCTTTTATTTTTCCATATATTGGGAAGATTAAACCCAACTGACTCCCATATTTTTCAGAGGGGTAGGTATACCACCAACCAGGATATTATTCCAGTTCCGGTTCATACTATGGTTATGTTACGTTATGTTTATGCTTCAAAGTATGGAAGAATATAAAATCATTTATTTCAGGAATTTCGAGGATGGGAATCGACCAATCTTTGCCGACCTCACTGTGAATGTTTGGCGGCCAGATCTGAAAAAAAGTGGAGTTGCAACGTGTTATTTCAAAGGTTACTTACTGTGGTCTGTGCGGGTTTGTCTGAAAAGTATCGGACAAACAGTCAAGTTCATTGGTTGAACATCAAGTTTCGCATTACCGCTATATTCGTGCCATACCACACAAACCAATTGGTCCAGCTGCAAATTAATGTGTTATTTTGTGGCCAAGATGTGCCAAGATGTGCCAAGATGTGCCAAGATGTGCCAAGATGTGCCAAGATGTGCCAAGATGTGCCAAGATGTGCCAAGATGTGCCAAGATGTGCCAAGAATCAAGGGAATGTGGTAAATCAAGGGAAAACTGTACTTGATGTTGTCTGACCATGGGAGATTCAAATAGATTCAATGGGTATATAGTATTATATGAGCCACCGCAAAAACCCCGGCAATACTAAATATGTATTGGACGGACATTGGTTTATGGAAATTGATGGAAATTGTATGAAATTGTTAAAAACACACGGTAAGCGATGGGACCTTCCCAAATTAGCGATGCCCCTTTTCAAGGTTATGTCATTGTATGTATTTCTCTAATATCCACATTAGCGATACCCAAATTGGACATTGATTTCTGTGAATTATATACAAAAAATGTAGCAGTTTCCTGCAAGCGTTACCCCCCAAGTTTACCATATATCATTATTGTACAAACGTGTGGTAAGCGATGGGACCTTCCCAAATTTGTGGATGTCCTTTCCGTGAACCTAGGGTTTTCGAGATTGCTCATATATATATATATTAGTATATAGCCAACAATACTGGAACAATGATGAGTTGATGAGGATATAAGAGAAAACATATGAACATTGTGATATAGCTGGGATTCTTTCTCTGAAACTGGTGGATTAAGCCACCAAGTTCTGGAGTTTTCCCCTCATAATTTTCAGTCAAAACTGTAATTACAGCAGAACATCCCAACTGATGGAGGTTGTTACCATAGCTGCTATTTCCCATGAATCACCCCAACTGCACCTCCATGTAGTACTGTATATCATAGCATTTCGGGTCTTCCAAAGACATCCAGGGTCGTCTTTTTCAGGGATGCATCACCTGGGTAGCGTTGCTAACGTTGCGGATGGCTCAATCAGGACTAGCTGAAACTGTTTATGACCCAATCACGACCGACGACTGGGTGAAAACTCATCCAGCGATGGAGCAGCGAAAGACTCCATGGGGGAGGATCTTTGGTTTCTCGCCAGCGATGTTATGGGCTACTGTCCCCAGGTGTTATGCATCCAACGTGTTGGATCTAATGTGGTAAACCTTCTGACAAACCAGATTTGGGCTGAACACCGAAGGCCCAGAAAGGAGGGATTTAAGCGGCTTGTAGTGCTTTGCTGATTTTCTTGGTGTTTTTTTCCCAGCATGATTTTGAGTGAGGGGATATGATCTGTGGACCCAAATTGGGAGTTGCCACAATGGTACGGTATGGTATGGTATGGTATGGTATGGCATTCCCAGAGCAACTACCTTCCCAGTTGCGTCTCACTTGCCCAATGCTCTCAACCAATGATGGAAGACAAGTGCATCTGGGTAAGAAGAGACCTACTCACACAATGGTGTTATTAGTTAATAAGTGTATGATGTTGTGGTGATTACACTATTCTATCATGGGTCAACACCATTACAATATTCTAGCATGGGTCAACGCCATGTGTGTAATATACGTGTGCCTACCCCCCAACAAAGTCAACATGTTCTGCATGTTCACTGATGTTTACAAGGTGTTGGTCAATTTGGAGGCTCTGAGGAAATTGCACAACTATGTTCAAGAAATACTGCAAATTCTAAAGGAAAAGTGTGTTTTCTTTGAGGGAAAACAAACAAGTTTCAAGTAATACCATATATAGGTCAAAGTGGTGAAAGGGATTCTTCCTTTCATTTGAAACGGAGACAGCATCGTGTTTTTTCAGGACCCCTTCACTTGTTCAAAGAAATACGGCATAATTTACAACGATACTACCCTCTGGCCCATTTATAGATGATGTTCCCATTAAAACCTCCATTTACAAGGGATTTTCCATAGCTATGTTAAATAACCAGGGATTACCAGAGTGTAGATGGATTATCATCCCAGTGTCCCATCCCATTTAAATAACCAGATGGTACTTCCTTAAACGGATGTTATGCAATCTAAAGTTGGCATACACTTCATCTTCTGAACAGTGCCCTTTGCATACTTTTCTCATGAATCGCCTCAATCCTGCATGTGTTCTTCAAACAAGGCTCTTCTTTCAAGGACTTTCACATGTTTAGACACATGTAGAAATGTATATCAATAATAATTAATGTTATATGATTCTATCATTCTATCATATTCTATATCAAAAACTATAGTATATCATCATTTCCTTCTTCGGAATGCATCTTAAATGCAGCCCCTCCATTTTTGGGATGGCACCTTTCAATGCACCTGTCGAGTCAGTCATGCGAGTCACATGTCACCACGTCCTGCCTCCTTTCAGAGAAGACGATTTTTCGTTACAAGGAATGCGTTGACGTGTTCTATTGAAATAATGGTTATAGGGTAATATATATATATATGTATATATATGTATAATGGTTTACCCATGAGAGACCCAGGATTTTTGTTTTATGAATTGTAAAGAGGAACCTGCATCTATTGAAATAGATCCAGCACTTGTAAAAGATGTACATATTTTGCGAGCATTCTTTCAGAATGAAGGAGCAGTGTGGTTTCTACATGCACATGTACCATCAAAAGCAGTACTGCATAATATTAATTTTTAAAGTGCTTGTTTGAGAAGAAGACCCGCTTCTGGAAATATTGCGCTGTTTCTTGAAGGTTTTATCTACACCTGCTTACAGGAATGCAACAACTATTTGGGAGGGAATGCGGTTTCAAGGAATCCTGCATCCTTTAAATGCAGCATATAGCCATACGGAAGCTAAACAAGTTCTTCAGCTTGTGAGCCATGTTGCTAGAATCGAATGAAGAAGGTCTTCGCGTTAAGAATAAATGGTCTATGGCGAGCTGGGACATCCACTAGCCAGCAGCACAGAACAGAAAAACACACTGACAAAAACAATGCAAATAAACTCAACCGTCCTGAAAAATGACTCACAACTTTAAAAACAACTGAGCAACATTTATATAACACAAAAGACTAAGAATCCTAAATTACTTTCATTGTTTACCAAGTATTGTAGCCACTCCCTGACAGATGGCCAGCAACAATTCTTGAAGCTTTTCAGCACATGGCCAGCACCTACCTAAGCACAACAACGGCAGCAAGTTTATACAGAAACCGTTGTTGATTTCAAATATCAAAAAAGCAAAAAATCAACACGTCGCGACTTCTTCACCTTTTCTCGCGGTTTCCCAACGTTTTTCCCCTGGTTTTTCCTGCCGTCGTCGAGGCTCCTTCCGTGGCAGTTTCTTGCCCATGGCGCGAAGTGCTGTGAGGGCTGAGGAGGCGGGCATGGCAATGGGGATTGTGGGGATATGGGGATGGGACACCATTCAACACCTCTAATTTATCATAAACACACTAATGACACTAATGGGTAATGATGGGTACTTTATTAGTATGATGTACTAATCTATAATTAAAGTACCCATCTAAGATTAAAGTACCCATCATTCAACAACTAAAGGGTTAATCTTAGATGGGTACTTTAATCCTTTAGTCTTTTGGTATCAATGGGAATATCTACGTTCACCAGCAAAGAATTGATTTTGTTTGCAGGGTATCTAAGATTGGCAATGCACACAGCAAAATAGGTGCAATATGCCCCATCAATGGACTGATCATGGTTGCTATTGACACATCACTGCGAGTCTGCCACCTACTGGATGTGTGTATATTTATCTATATGATGTGGTAGATAAATATGGATATTGATATTGATATTGATATTGGTGATGATGATGATGATGATGATGGGATGATAGGATGACATGGACATTCTTGAAACTCCCGGCGAATTTGAAGGGTTTTGATCCATGGCCATAGTTGATGGGCATATTCTTTGAGAAAAAACATAATCATTGGGATTGGGGGTTGTAAACCGGGTTTTAATCAGCAAACATGGGAGTAGAATGCATGTGGTGCCCCCAAACGATAGGCAAGGTTGTTTTGCAGTTTGTTGCTTAGGGAACATGTATAGGAAACCATGTTTTTGCTTTGAACAAATTTAGTGTCCTGCAAATGTTCTCTTCATCCAAATATGGAATCATAGTTTATGTGAAACAGGATGGACAAGTGCCTATTTCGATGGAAAATAACTATACCCTCCGGTGTCATCAACTGTGTTTAGGTCAATGATTTTCTCAGCGAACTGATTCGTTTCAGAAGGCTAGTTCGGTGATGTTCCCATCTTTTCCCATTAGTGTACCATATTTTACCATATTTTACCAGTTATTTTCCCATCTTTTCCCATTAGTGTACCATATTTACCAGTTATTTTCCAATTTTTTCCCATTAGTGTGCCATATTTTACCTTATTTTACCAGTTATTTTCGCATCTTCTCCCATTAGTGTACCATATTCTACCTTATTTTACCCTATGTTCCTGTGATTTTGCCCATGGTTTATAGGAGGATTTTTTCCCGCGGCAGGTCCCACCTGCGGAGGCACCGAGGCTGGCAAAGGAAGTTGCTTTACAACCCCGACCATCGTTATATCATGTTGAATTGTTGAATCATGTTAAATCCCTTATAGACCCTACTTAACTGGTCGGTGGTTTGGAACATTTTATATTTTCCATATATTGGGATTAATAATCCGAACTGACGAACTCATATTTTTCAGAGGGGTTGAAACCACCAACCAGAATCCCTTATAGACCCTACTTAATTAGTTTATCAAGTTTTTAAAACATATAAGTCAACTTAGCTAAGTATAGGATACTATGGGGCCCCTTCCCAAAAGGGACATGATTAGGACATGACAATCAGATATAATCAGCAGCAGAATCAGATATAACTTACGATATTATATTTATTTATTCTCAACAGGCAGCGAGTGCACTCGGCTCCTACGATGGGGGTGCGAATCAGGTAGAATTATATTCAGCAACGTTATCAAATCTTTGTTTTGCCTCAAGAAAGTGATGGTTTCATAGAGATGAATGGGTAAATGTTGGTAACTTGGGACCAACATGGTGAAGTTTTGTTCATAGAGAATGGGTCATTTTTTGGGAGCATGTTGTTGTGTCATCGAAAGTACTTGAATCTGGGACGATTGTTATTGAGCTCTCATAGCACAATGGAACTGTTTTTGTGCATATGGCAGCCAGGTTTTTCGACGGTTGGGCACATAATGGATGTGGTGTGTATTCGTTTCTCCAGGTCCGAGTTGGTCTGAGCTTACGCTTGACGACCAGACGCAAGATACCTCATTCAAATTCATTCAAATAACGGCCTCAACTCCTAGTTGAAGGTCATTTAACCAATTTAACCCCTGCAATGCTGACCAAAACCAATCATTCCCAAACCCTCCTTAAAATATCTTAAGATGGTCAGAGGTCGGAGTGATTTCAGTTCTCAACCGGAGGCCGGAAGAGAAGAAGCCTGAAGAGGTCAGGATGATCACGATGGATATGCTGGTAAGTTCTAGTGGGTGGCGGGTCCCAGTTCAAAGTTGGTTTATCATCCACCGAACTGCAACTTTAGGTACAATCACCAGAAACCCTAGTTGTTGGAATGGTCAACCAACCTAGCTGTGGGGCATCACCTTTTCGGTAAGAGCAGGCTTACCCTTGGTAGAACTGGGAGATCCTTCGGGAACTGCTATGACTCGCAGAGGAATCCCATGGATTACCAGGTCTCATGCAGGCCATCATGGAAGTTTGAGCGGCCATCTCTAGCATTTGATGCACCAAAAAAGGGGTCACATGGCAAGTCATAGAAACTCCATGAAACTCCACTCATAACATGAATTCCAACCATGTGTTCATCAGTGTTTTTTTTTCCCTGAAGTGGCACTTTTGGCTTGCTCCATCTATAACAGAAAGGGCCCCAAAAAGGCATCTCTGGTCTCCCAGAATTCGTGAACGAACCACACAGGAAGGGCCCCCCAGTTATAAGATGCTTCGTAATTTTCACTGCACCTTAACATATGTTTTACCGGTATATCGACCAAAAACGTGAATCCGAGTTAACTCACAGTTTTTCCGTAGCTTTTTATCCGAGTTAACTCTCTAGAGCTTCCCGTTCGTATACGGGCGCCAAAAACGGAACGCCAGGAGCCCGCAGCGCAGTTTGAGTTTATCCAAAAGGAATGGCAGAACATCTCGTTGCAGGACTGGATCATTGGATCCCTAGGGCCGGTGTCTGAAGATGTGGAAAAGCGATGGTTTCTCTAAGGGATTCAGAGTGGTTCAACTCCCATATGTCAACGTGATAAAAAAATGCTGGATATGTCGGATATGTATGTGTTGCCCTTTAAATGGCGAGAGTCACTCTCGCCAGAAATGGACCTGGACATGTTTTCTAACGTTAGCTTTGTGTTTCACATATTGAAAAGATGCAGAGTATCCAAGATTAACCATGATAAGGGGCTGGGCAATTGATGGCAATTGTATTCTCCAGCTGTGCATGGGTTGTGAATGAACCCAGTTTTGCAACATAAAAACCGCGGGCTCCAGGGTTTTTTTTTGCATTCCGGTTCTCCAGTTTTTTGGCCTCCGTTCTGGTGCCAGAGATTGAAACCGTTGCTGCTTTATTTGGAATATCCTGCTATCGTTTTTTTGTTGGGGAGTATTTTTAACTATAACATCATGTTATCATATTACCTGAATTTTAAGAACATTTGAGTCATTTGAATTGGTAATATTATGGTCCTTGGAATGGAAAAACCATGGAACAATCCTTTATCATGGAAAATCTTGGAACATGGTTTCCAGTCCTAGTTTGGAAAATAGTATGTATCGTGGACAATGGAACTTGATCCTAATTTCCAGTCCTAGAATAACTGGTTGGTGGTTTGGAACATGTTTTATTTTCCATAATATATGGGAGAATCCTTCCCAACTGACTAATATTTGTTCAGAGGGGATGAAACCACCAACCGGTTATTGAAGATTACCCTCTGGTAAACTATATAACATAACTATGGAAAATCACCATTTTTAATGGGAAAACTCACTATAAATGGCCATGTTCAATAGCTTTTTGTATGTTTACCAGAGGGTATAATGGAACACTCCAAGCATCGTTTCTGGAGTGTTTCTTGAGATGACGATCTCGGGGAGACTGTTTCAAAGCAGGGCTGAATTTTGTCGCTGAACTCCATGTGGTTGGCCCACGATTGGATTGTTTGATATTATTAATCTTAATGTGATATATATATATATATATATAGTATATAATATATAATATATACATTATTGATGACATATTGGCTATGATTTTTTGATGTTGAATTTACATATTTCTATTTTAGCTATATAAGATGAATCATATATCATATGAAACATCGACATTATATTATATTGTCTAAGACCAGTGAAGACCCCATGGAACTCATAGCCAAACACATCTACACAACTGCCAGATGTTCATACTTACTGTGCATCTCACAGTAGAATATGTGAAATCTGTTGATTAGATGTTTATGAAGGTTTCCTAAAAGGGGAGTACCTCTAAATCATCCATTTTAATATGATTTTTCATTATGAACCAACCAGCGTATTGGGGTACCCCCATATCTGGAAACCCCCCATGCCACCTTTGAGGTGACTCCATTCGACAGTCTTCACCCGTCATTAGATGGGGATGGATATTGACCAGCTATTGACCAGCTATGACTTAGGGTACCATCCGGGTATTGGGGTTTTGACTCATCAGCAGATATTGATCAGCCTCAGGTCGGCATTTTGTTTGGATCCCAAAACTGTCTGAGGGAAAATCTTTGGTGGAATCGCCTCATGGTTAAAAAAAACATGCTTATTACAATAAGGTTTTCCCTTCAGACAATTCATGGTCGCTTATTCATCATCCCTTATCCGAATATTTTCCGTTTAATGTATCATATTGTATCCTAATTTTCTTCTGAAATATCCCAAAATATTGTGGTTGGTTCCCACTATGTTTACCACCTATACAATCCACTACAACATCTCGACCCCGTGGTTTTTCAGTTAATTTCTTGCTGCGTAAACCCAAGAACTGCACGTTGATATCCGATGAGATCCCATGAGAAAAAAAACCCGATGAAACACCAAGAAAAATGAAAAAAATGTGACATGAATCCTTAAACATCCACATTCTCCATTTCTTGCAATGAGACATAGATTCTAGATATAGAATGATATAGATACCATGTAGATATACCTTATCAATTACGGACCATTTTCAGATCAATAAACCACAAAAATAAACACAATCCACCACAATCCACACAATTTTTACCACATCGGTGCCCAACCTCCACCGGGCCGTGGTGGCCGGCACGGTGTCCGGCACGGTGGCGTTCGGATGCGTTCGGAGGACAACTGGGATGGCTTTCGCATTGAGGCGCAGAACAAGGTCACAGAGACCCTTCAGGTGCCACCGGACTTTTTTGCAGAAGAGTTCGGGAAAGGATGAAAGGACTCGACTTATATGTTTGAGATTCATTTATGGGAATCTGTATATATACGACTAGTATATATGATATTATATGATTACATATATCTGTATATAATTGGGATATCATTGATAATATTATACAATATATATATATATATGTGCAATTATGTGCGTATATAATGATGTAATATAATATATACGTATGTACAATATATACATGTCTTTCGGAGGGTCACTGACCTACCCTCCGGTAGGAAATGGCTTGGAAAGCTGCATCGAAAAAAAATAGCTAAATTTAGCCTCTAAATTTAACATAGCTATTGAAAGTGAAAATCTTGACTAGGTGAATATAGGTAAAACATCTATAAATGAATGTCCTATTTAAAGGCATAGTCCTATGACATGATTGGTTTTACCTATAAAATGCCTATATAATTTGACATCGCCATTTATAAATAGGCAATGTCCTATGTCATTTTTTTAAATGGAAGCATCATCGAACTAAATGACGTAGTTGCCAGCAAACCATGTTTGATTATGTATATATATATATATCAGTAACAAACATGTCTGTAAATACAACTTATTGTGTACATGTATACGGTATACATATATATATATGTTCCAAGACATATGCTGTTGATGTATGCAGCATTGCAATATTACTTCCTTTTTTCAGTGGCTCAAACCCAGGTAAGGGGACGCAAGATGGATAGCTGAAGTTCGAATCAATTTGAACAAAACAGTGGTCATCAAATATGACGGTGGGAAACCCCCCTTTAGATGATTAGATAAAGTATTGGATGGAGCTTTGAATGAGAACATCATCAAACTAAATGGTGAATTGTTCCAGCAAACCATTCTTGACTGCCGAAGGGTGAACGGAACTCACTTTAACATGTGTTCTTTCGTGTTTTTTTGTGTATCATGTTTTATTTCACATTCTTCCACTCATCAAAATCAGGGCTTCGAGAAATGCCAAAAGACTAATCAACTAATCCATGACAAGCATCAACCCTCAATGAATATCACAAGGCTCAACGCTTCTGCAGTTCGAAGAAAATGCCGGGGAAGTCACAAAAGATATGGATGAAGTATATATATATATTATAAAAGGACAGTGACAGTGTAGATTTCATGTCTATATATAATAATATATATATATAATATACATAATTATATCAAATGTATATATATATAGATACATATCTATATACATACATATATATGATTACGTATATACATATTATATATGATTTCGTGTATATATATATATATACATATATATATGCATATATATATACATATATATATATATACATATATATATATATATACAAATATATATATATATACACACTGGGTATACACTACCCTTTTTCAATCACACATGTATATATACATAAATGTATTTAAATATATATATATATACATAAATGTATTTAAATAAATATATATATATACATAAATGTATTTAAATAAATATATATATATATACATAAATGTATATATATATATATATATGTATATTTAATGTAATATACATATATATATATACCCGAATGATGAGAATGCGACGCTGAGAAGTTCAAACAAGAACAGACTGAATACTTAAATAAGGAAAGCAGGTCACCTTCACACCAGCCGAGAGAAAAACACATGAAAAAACGCTGTAGGCACAAACATGGGGATGTTGAACGTTCGTTGGATATATAGCAGGAGATTGAACTCGGAAAATGAATCTTATTGATGTGTTTTTCTTTGTGAATGAGGATGTACATATATATATATGTTTTTTGGGGTATTCTATAGAAGATACACAGCTGGAAGTAATGGATAAGCAAACAAAATGGGGATGTAATGGGTATAACAACAATTGTAGTGACAACATAGTGTATTATATATATATATACATATATTTACACGTATATACATATTTATACATATTAGTCATACGTCGGATATATCATGGGGCGCATAACTTGACAGGATGTATTATGGGCTATATATATAAAACCAACACAAAACAACAATGTGGTATGTGCAGCTGTTTGTGACGGGGATGTGAATGAGATATTACTGGGGATGCATGAACACGTGTGATATTCGGATTAGTTTCGAGTTCCAGTTGTCAGCGGTTTCCTGAGGGTCACATCAATTATCGTCAAAAGCAGCAATTCGTTCTTGCCATTAGATCATGGGAAAATTGATTTTAATTGTGAGATAGATTGAGGTTTCAACTTATGAGACAAACCCACGGTTTGGCCACCCCAGTTCTAGTTTGCTTTATAAAGCCCTTTCATTATAATTAGTTATCACTACCATAAACCATAGCTGTTGAAGTTTTGTCAACCAACTTAGCTATCGCAGCTGGGAAAAAAAAACATTGAATGAGGATGCTCGCCTGGGTGAAGACCCATGTCTCCGAGCAAGTTAAGCCTGGCTTGGTGATTTTTCACGGTTTGCTATTTAAAATCACAAAATGTTGCATAGGTACATGATCATGTTTATCATCCACGGGCCATGTGCCATAGCTAATATAGCAATGTTATTTTTAACCAGAGGGTAAGCCTTTTGGTTGAGGCATCAGCTTCCAATTCTATATGCATTCTTCTGCATTTCTCAGGATTATACCATGTGATCAAATCCATTGCTGTGTCGGTAGGGGCCACGATTGTATTTTCAGGGATCTTCACCCAAGTTTAGGTAAGTATAACATACCTGATGACATGGATTCTACGACTAATGGATTGATTTGAATCGAAAATTCAAGCAAACCATGTAGTTATCATGTAGTTCTGACATGTTTTGACACCCATTTCGTGTTTTTTTTGAGTTGTCCTGTCCTTTTCTGCGAGGCCACCCATTCCATTTTTCTAGGCACCCGACTACGCGAGCCGGGAGCCTCAGGAGCCTCAGGAGCCTCAGGATGTCTACATTCCCCTGGATTCTCCAGAGAAAATGCATCGAAAATGGATGGGTAAACAGAGCTCAAATGCTATGAAGTTGAATATAGTTCAATGGTTTCTAATGGTTTTCAAGGTTTCAATCAACATATTTTTTTCAGATAAACTACGTGGTTAAGAAACGTCTTCAAAACCTGGGGATTTTTGAGGGTGGGTGTCTTTTGGGTCAAAACTGAAGGTCCGCAAACCCGGTTTGAACCCCAAAACAGTAGCTGGTAAATGGATGTTTATCCCCAAAAAGATGGCACAATATGTTGCAATGCAATACTTATATATATATATGCCTATATAGGTTTTGATCCATCCCATATATGTAATTTTGACAGTTCTATAGTGGTTTTGATGGTCATTAGCTCCAATCTGTGGGGGAACGCCCACGAAAGTCGCCGCCTCGCTGCTTGATTCAGATGTGGTTACCTCTACCACTTTGGCTCAGTCTTTCAAAGTCCGGACTGACAAGGGGGGCTGCGCACGATGGGTGAAAGCTGGGATGAGTGACTGCGTGATGAATGGAAGATTTTATATATTGATGATACATGGAGTACTGTATATATGGATGATGTATGGCTAAGATGGATTATTATGTAATACGGCTAATATGAATGATATATGGCTAATATTATCCTATAAATGGTTGATTTATAGGGGTAATAGCCTTTTGGGCTATGTGAAAATAATCGATTAGCGATTGAGCCCACCAAATATGGTGAGTATATCTCCCCCAATAGATCCCCATTTTTTATTTTTGGTTGGTTGATGGTGGTTTAAAAAACATATGTTTGTTGTGCTTGTCCAGATACCGGGGGTCGTTTAATCGGTGTTGTTTTTGTCATTTCTTTCCATGGGAAATCCACCGTTGGAGGAATCTGTCGGTTTTTGTTCGGGGGAGCTTAAGCAAATCCAACGATAGAACAGCTGGAAACATATGAACATGATATGCACTTATGAATACATACTGAGTCTACAATAAGTACCCTGGATTCGTCGTGGTCCATCGTATTTATCTCGGAGTGGATGGTTCATTTCTCTTCAATGTCCATGTATAATAATAATAACAATAATAATAATAATATTATTATATATATATACGTGTGTGTGTTTGCATGATTTTTCATGATTTTTCTATATTTGGGATGGTCCATGTTCTATAATCTACCTTCAAGTGATGTATTACCTTGTCTTGACATTGAAAAATCCACCAAGTGCATCCAACCACGGTACTCGGAGCTCTTCCTGAGAAAAATGGTACCCTGATGTAGGTATTGACTTAATGTCAGATCAATGGGAATTTCAGGATCCTAAAATGGAGGTTCTGTACCATATAAGGCCATATTTTCTGGGGATATCCCCTTACATAGGCCTTATATAGGCCTTATATATGGTAGGTACCTCCAATTTAGGATCCTGGAATGGCCATTGATCAGATGTGGAAGCTGTAAGACAGTATCAGCCCAATCTTCCAGCAGCCATAGTCATTTCATGTAATTTGTTTGTGTCTGCCCGTGTCTCCCAGAATTTAGCCTGGATCATATAAACGATTGATCTGTTGAACGATGTTGAACGCACTCCCTGACCATTGTGCAAACCATGGATGTTGTGTGCTACGAAGTCTGTCAGAAAGTGATATGTTCCAGAGATTTGACATGATTTCACATGGCAATCGAGAAGAGAACATGAGAACATGATACCCTCTGGTAAACTAACATAGCTGTTGAAAATGACCATTTATAGTGGATTTTCCCATTAAAAATGGTGATTTTCCATAGTTATGTTAGTTTACCAGAGGGTAACACGTGCAGATGATGGCAGATGGTCAAAACATGATCGCAGGATCAGCGGACAGTCCTGTTGGCCCGAGCTGGTCTAGACGGAGGAGTGAACGGCCGAATCATTCAGAAGGTGCAACGGACCCAGCGGAACCTGACGGCCCAGGGGACCCATGTTTTTTCGCACACGACGTGAGGCTTTCAGGAAGGTTCCGCCCCAGGTGTGTTTGATGATTTACAACCCCATCTAACTAATATAGATATATCCATCATAAATCCTTAGTAGCTCAGTTATGAACAACTTACCTATTTTGGGAGCCCTTGCTGTTGGGTTCTCCAAATTACATTAATTTGTGGTTGCTGTGAAAAATTGTTTGTCCCAATTTGGGAACTGGGTCCTAGAAAGCCACAAACCTTGCACATTGATATTTATTGGCAAGCCAGAGACCCACCATTTCCCAAAGTATCTGGTAAGTCGTTGAACGTTTGCCACCAAACCCAGCCTGGTGTTTCAACCAGAAGGTGGGGGACAGGTGGCGTTCAAAGTTGTTTCACAACCTCTTTTCCTCGTTGTCTCAGAATAAGGTACCCAAAAAATATCCGATGGTTATTAATAATATAATACTCAGGATACATTATGTTTAATCCTGCATGATTATTATATAACCATTGGTATCCTGATAATCATTGGTATCCCAATATAATAATTATACCATTGGTTATTAGTAGCAATCCCAATGGTTATTATAGCAAATAATTATACCATTAATGTATCCCAATAATTATTCCATTGGTTATTATACCAAATATAATAATAATCCAATAATTCCAATAATTCCCAATAATCATAATCATAATCCCAATAATCATAATCCTAATAATTCCCAATAATCATAATTCCATAATCATAATCATAATAATAATTCCAATAATTCCAATTTTCCTTCGTTTTCCCCCCAGCCATGCGGCATTTTCAGACCTGACTTTGCGACTTTGCTCCGTGAAGGGATCCCAAATGGGGGAATGGCTCAGATCCAGCACCAGCTATGGCTTGACCAGCTATGGGTGCCAGGCTTTTGACAAAGAAAAACATCCCATAAGCATATGAAATATATATGAAATATATATATATATGAAATATATGAAATATATGATATTAATGATGGTTATACTGAAAGAATACTATCACAACTTTCATACTTTGATACGTTCAGCTCAATGTGATCATTGCATCACCTCCCGCGCAGTTCGGAAGCTGCTGGGAAGTGAAAGCCTCATCCAACTCAGATTTGAAGGTTCGGATACACCGTGGTACTCTGTGGCTGTGAAGGGTGGTTGATATTTTCCCACACCTGCCCTGCGACGTTAGAATCTGCGACCATTTCATTGGGTTTTATTTCACATTGATCAACATCAGAAAGACTGAGATACCATCTGGTTATGACTAACAATTTGCCATGGAAAATCAGCATGTTTAATAGGTAAACCATCTATAAATGGGCCATTTTCCATGGCTATGTTTAATAACTATAGAAGGTAAATTCAATAGTTTGCGATGTTTACCCATAGGAGTTTTGTCCCGTGAATGACACGTGGAATTCCCGTGCCGTCAATGTTGAGTCCTTGTTGGTCCAGCTCTACCTGTGCCGTCAATGTTTGATATTCTGGATCCATGGAACTTGGAAAATCTGAGAAGTCTGTGAGGAATACTTTTTGAAATAATAGGATTTCAAGATAATTCAAGTTTTAATTCCGATCGTTTTATCCAACAGAAAACCAGGATTGTTATGTTGCTGTCACATGCTGTCACCATGATTTGTTGGAGTAATGTTCATTTCTGTTTTCAAACGTGTTTTGATCATCACCATTTGTTTTAAGACAAAACCATTCTCATTGTTGGGTATGTATATGATTGTACATGTATCATTGCACAATATAATATGTATGTATACATGATATCCTATAGCCTCTCGTATTACACTAATTATGTAAATATTCAATTTCATATATGCATACATACTGTATACGTACATATATACATGCATTTGCATATGCATATAGTCACCCCCAGAAAGATAGAGCAGGACCACTTTATCACTATTTTAGTCATTGATTTTACTTTTTCTTATCTTTGTGGGCTGCACTATAGTATATATATATACACATGTACTGTACATACATTATATATATATATCCCATTATGCATCCTCTTGAAGTAATATATATAATTATATATATATCCATTTGTATGTCATTTTCTAGCCAATTATATATATATCCCTAAGAATCATTGGCACCTGGTATTGAGATACCCGTATCTCTGAGTGAGGGGTCGGTACCTCGAACCTCTGAGGGAGGGGTCGGGGCCCTCGGGGAACATAGGCCGAGGTACCGAGGTACCAAAAACTGATAAAAACTGATTGACAATTATATAATTTGTTCATACGTGTTCAAAACATGCTCAATATGATCAATGGACATGCCCTTCATAAACTACACAAGTTTGATATGTGTTTGTGCATTTTCATCTTGTTATGTGTTTTGCAGTGCAGCCAGGAACCACCAGTGCATCACAGAAATTGTCAGGAGAGATTTTTGGCGTGACATGTTTAATAGGTATAATATATATATATACAAATATTACCAAATGTTGTCTAGTACATGCTGCTTAGGCTTAATTATACATATATATATAATCTAGACAAACAGGCCGGCTCTTCAGCCAAAATTCTTTGTGGAATACCCCTTTGAATTGTCTGTCCCAGCAGTTTTTTTGTTGGTCGAAAATTAAAACACCGCAATCAAACAAGTCGCACAGAGCAATGCACGGATCTAGCCCATGTGGGGGTACAGAAGGCAACAAACGTCAGTTAGATTCTATATTTCAAAATATTTCAGCGTTTGTTTTCAAATGAACGACATTTACAAGGGAATTCGACAGTAATTTTCTATTATGATGTTTTTTATTTGCCTCGGCTTAGTGACATCTTGTGTGAGGCAATCCTAAAAAGAACAATCAACCAACAAGATGCACTGATGAAGCTAACGAAAAAAACAACACCAAGTGTTTGAAGGATTGAAGCCTTGCACTGAGATATACATATATTGCACAAGTCAAATCCAAAAGCGTACGCACGCATATACTGTACGGAAAAGTACGCCCATGTACGCCCATTTGGCTCCGTATCAAAGCCTAGATTAGATGGCATATGCATCCTAGTGGAAACTTAGTAGATTTTGTCTTAATGCATGTAACGGATGATTTCTAAACTCCTTTTCAAGCATGTAGCAGTCACAAGTCAGGTATTGCCCACATTGTTCCAGAAAGGGGAAGCATGTTTTGACTATAGGGAAATATCATCAGGGACTGTGACCTCACGGCTCCAAATTATATAGGATGCATCCAAAGATTGGTAATTTCAGCCATGAATATGAGTCCTGATTCCAAAAGGATAGCAGCAAAGGTCCAAAACGAGCACAAAGGATATCCACAGGAAGGTATCCAAAAGGAACCCCAAAGTGAACAACAAGGTCCAAGAAAACCAAAGGAATGGATATGGATATAAAATGATATAAAACGAACAAATCAAAATTCAAATTTATAAGGAAACATGTACAGTAACGATGAAGATAGAGCAACAAACAAAATAAACAGGGAAAGCACATGTTAACGAATCAATCACATATTAGAGGAACTGAATGGGTTCAATAGCTGGCTGGGAAGGAACGTACAAGTTGATCCTAGTCTTGTGCCAGATCATCCCAAATTGTTTACCGTGTTGTCGAACTCTACCTCGAAAACCTATGGTTCAGACCAACACCGGAGTAGTTTCGCCCTGGGAGTTTCAACAATTTAGTATTTAGGTAGCTCTATTTCATGCAACATTGCGGCGTTTCATGTGAGAGCACATAGGATTTCGTAAATCATCGGAACCCATCAGAAACCCATCGGAACCGGAAACCCATCAGAAACCCGTCGGGAACCTGGTCGGGAACCCGTCGGAAACCCGTCGGAAACAAACCCGTCGGAAACTCGTCGGAAACCCGTCGGAAACACTTACATGGGCCCTCAAATCAGGACCTTTTGAGGTACCGCCGTCGGAAACCCGTCGGAAACATTTGGAGGGCCAATCCTAGCAGGGTTCGGTATGGCTCAGCCACATAACTTTTAGCCATATTTAGCCAATCCAATCCAGTATGTTCAACATTATCCCCCAGGCAGGGTGACAAATCAAATGGGCATGCAATCTTTGAGAAAATCCATGAATAGATTCATTGTCTTTGTTCCAACTGTTAGTGGGTCCTGTTTAGTGACATGGTGTGTGAGAGACATCGATTCAGCAATAAACAAATACAGGACTTTGTCACAAAAACGTGCTTGAAACACCTTGTCCTTTGTCAATACTGAACCATGAGCCGCATTGCGCATCAGCAACACATGCTTACAGGTTTGCTTAGGAATGACCGGGACTACGTAAAAGAAATATGATGTATTTGATTGTATTTGTATTTGTTAAAAGCAGCCTGAAGAACAGCAGGATCCAGCCCACACTGGTACTGGAGGTTGGTGAAAGGCATGGATGAGTAAGCAGGGGTTGACCCATTGGCCCCCCTGGTAGGCTAATCTACGAAGTGGAATACTGTATAGAACTTGTGCAAGAAATGCTTTTAGCCTTATCTTACTGATATCATTTGTGAAGAGTGAAGTCATTATCAAAATGAGCAACCAATTAAATAGTCTACCAAATGTTTGCAAATGTGAAGGAACACAGAAGCCATACAGCCCTCAAAGAAGCCTGCCTGTATACAAGCATATCGCAAATTGAAAGCATTGTTTTTGTTGGCAAATATTGACTATATCAAAAGGTGAGTATACATTCAGAAAAACGGTGACCTCGGCTCGTCCCAGTGGGCTTGGCCGTAAAGATTTGCAGTTTTGAAGCGCTTTCTGTAGTTGTTTGTTTCTTGGATGCAAAAATTGCCTGTAATATTATAAGTTAATATCAAAGATACACTTGCAAAAAGCGTGCGCGAGTCCAGGCCACAATCTTGGGATAGTAATTATCGGCGGCAGATAGACAGGACGGGTCAGCTTGACAAATATAATGGTCTTTCACCCTTGGCTCACAAGCACCCAGCCCGACGACATCTAAAGGGAACCGAATATAAAACAACTGAAATCCAGAGCCATCCAGCCGGAATTGAAAAGCAACGTGCTTTTAAAACAGCAATGACGCTACAAGACATAGACACGCACAACAAAAGCAAGAACAACCAATCAACAGCCCAAAAGAAGCGGGACAGGAATGAATATGAGAGCCAAACAAAATAAGGAAAAACACCTACTGTAGGAGATTCAGTCAATAGCAGTCGGGAAGGATAATCTTTGACCAACCCCAAATGATCTTTAAGCATTGCCAGAGTCGCCCCTGTAACCTCTGGAACCCTACCAATAGGTCCAATAGGTTGGAGGGAAGCCGGGAAATACCAAATGATAACCAATTTGATTCTTTACTTACTTCATCATGGCAGTTGTGATCAGGTGCGGAGAACAAGCCGCACCTCTCAACCAGCTGATTTCTGACCCCTAGATGCTACAGAGCTTCACAATCTAACAGCTGAAGGGTTCCTTCGTCTTATCCTCAACCATTGTCGAATATCTTGTCATATTTCGGGGGCGCAACGGTTGAATCAAAAGGGATAGATAGTTTGGAACCCTTGTTAGATCTTGTTAGCATGTTGGGACCTCGGGGAGTGCTCCCCGAGGTCCCGAACGCTTACGAGAGCCCCAATCAAGTTGGGATGGTTAGGGATAGTCATATATATATATATATAAATCATATAACTATATATTTGTATATTCCCAATGTTGTTGGTTTTATACCCCCCCCCACAACAATGACGGACAAACTTGTCCTAGCCAGGACGTCGGCCGGAACATGCATGTCACTCGGCAACCGCAAGTTGGAATGATGTCGAGTTTCGCATAAATAGATACACACATACATATATACCCATAGGATCCATGTATGGTATATTTACCTACATTTGGGTCATTTATGGGGTAAATGTTGGTAAATATTCCATACATGGATCCTATGGGATATATATACATATAAACACGATGTGATGTGATATGTCAAGATGACATGCTTGAATGATTGAACATTGGGTCTACCACCAACAAAAAGGGGGTCATATGTGGGTTTATTGAGGTTTTCGAAGAATTCCAAGGATTATGGGAAGAATTCCAAGCAAATCAGGTGATTTCTTTATTAGCTCGTGAGAAAATACACGGGTGCCGTTTTTTTGTGGAGGTGCATCCCAGCCTGAAGGGTAATTTGATAGGTACAATTACCCACAGACGCCGTGTGTTGCCCAGACATTAACATTGAGAATGTCGTGCTGTCGACTATATATATGATAGGAGAGACTGCAGAAAACACTGCGTATACGCAGTGTTTTCCAGTTTAGGATTCAACATTTTCAGAGTCTAGGTTTTAGGGTTTGGGGTTTTAGGGTTTGGGGTTTTAGAATTTTGCGGTTTTAGGGTTTACGATGGTTTAAGGTTTTAGGGTTTGGGGTTCGTCGTCTGGGAAATCTCAGAACACCGGCCCTGCGCAGGTGTTTGAGCATGTTGAAGGATAATGTTTAAACATGTTTAAACGCCATTTGAACGTTCCGGGCAACGCACAGCGCCTGGCCGTACAATTACCATCAACCTATTTGTAGATGATTTAGCGGACTTGGCCATGGCTTGAATGGCAAAGTGTTAGATTGCCAGATCCAGAAGGGGATCCAGAATTTCACGAGGTCTTGCTCCAAATGATGCTGACTTTGAATTTGAAACCCAACAAAATCACCAAAAAAAAAAAAAATCACAAAAATCCCAAGATCTCGTGATTATGTTCACACTTTTTTGGATGTTTTTGTTGATATTGGTGGCTTTTGTTGAAGGGTTTTTCATGGGTAAACCACCACTGTACATCGCGGCATCACTCGAATGATGCTTAGGATTGGGGCAACTCTCCCAAAATCATCGAACTTTTTAGGTTGAACGGTTGAATTTATCCGCCCCAGTTATATATGGAATATACTGTGTATATATATATATATGGAATATATATCGACAAAATCGGAATATCTCCACTTATGGGTTCAAAAAATAATTGGGAAGCACCGCCAAGATGCCCCAAGTAAATACGGTAACTGATGGCAAGTGGTAGGAGCTGGCAAGCAGTGGTTGTACTAGTATGGTTCCGCAGTAACAAGATGTAACATGATGCATGCGTAAACTGCAACTTGTTTCCAACCAAAAAACGAGCCCATAAAGACTGCTTAAAATTGTCATTCGGAATTTTCATGAGTCGGTCTAGATATGTCTAGATAGTTCCTCTTTTTTTTCCATCTCCATCTCCCACCGCGGAAGCCGAACTGTTTTGGGGATGACCCCGTGACCCGAACCATACGAAGCATTGTCTACCGACTCACCATCGACTGAAGTTACTGCCCATCAAATATACATCAAATATATATATATATATATATTATATATACTGTATACATATTTTATATATGTGATTGTGAGTTTTACTGTAAGGGATCATGATGGATCATGATGAACAGTTATCAGAGATTCCCCATAAAAATGTGGTCTTCTATCAACACCCCAACAGCTCCATAGTTAGCATTTGGACATCATTTACAAGCCATATTTACCACCCATTTGCCAACCATTCGACCACTCCCAATCATCTCCAAGCCCATATCCATGCATGGTATATATACTAACATTGGGGGTAAATTGATGGTAAATGTTACCATATATACCATACATGGATCCTATGGGATGGAGCTCCAGGAAAGTTCCGTGGAATACAGCGGCCCCGAACGGGCGCTCTGTGGCAAATTGGCCTGGCAGGGCGCTTGGGTCGGTGGAGGCGGGCGATGGGATTGCGGTGGAGTTCCAAGAAACACCAGAAATCTGAGAGTTATGTAATTCGGTGACCCACAATACGTATACAAATGAAGATAGATGGATGGATAGATAGGTAGATAGATGGATGGATAGATAGGTAGATAGGTAGATAGGTAGATAGATAGGTAGATAGATAGTTCGATAGGTTAGATGGATTAGATCGATTGGATAGATTAGATAGATTATATAGATTAGATAGACTGGATTAGACTAGACAAGGCTAGATTAGATTAGATTTGATAGATTGACAGATAGACAGATAGACAGACAGACAGACACACAGATAGATAGATAGATAGATAGGTAGGTAGATGGATAGTTAGATAGGTAGATGGATAGATAAATAAATAGATAGATAGATAGGCAGATAGGTAGATAAGGAGGTGGGTAGATAGGTAGGTACTTAGATAGATAGGTAGATAAGGAGGTGGGTAGGTAGGTAGGTAGGTAGATCGATAGATATCCATAGATATGTACATGTATATATTGTTTCAAAGCATTCCCCGGCAGCAAATGTGACTTCTATCACTACAGCCCCTAGATGCTTTCTTGACATATCCGCGGATGTTTTTGCTTGTTGTATCCCCCATGCTATGGAGTTCCCTTCAGGATCCTTCGTTCAGAAGATCCTGCCACAGCTGCAGATGGGAGGCGACCTTACTTTAGTGCCTTGGTGGGCGCACGTTGGGTAAAACTTGGTGACTGGTTGATGAATGGATGGTGAATGGTTACCTCACTGGCTGACCTGAAGGTAGAGGTTTGGCAGATTCCTGCACGGGATATGTTACTTTGCACAGACTATTTGTCAAATCAGTAAAAACATATCTCAGTTGTTGTTGGATACGTGATTTTTGAGAATTTGTTAAATGGATAACGGATGTGATGATTGTATCCTTTTTGTTTGTCGTGGAATACCCAAGGTATACCCAAGGTCAGCCATGGTTCAAGGTCAATAGGATTTAACCGATAGGAGCTGGGTAACACCAACCATTTCCACCTTAGTCGATGAGAGCCCAACAATCAAGCACGGTTCTGTATATGTTGTATGTGTCAAATGTTGATAACATCCGCAAGTGTCAAATTTGGATATGTATACAATTATACATTTATGATATATATATGTATAAAGGTATATATGTGTTTAAGTATATATGTATAATTATAGATGTATAATTATAGGTGTATAATTATATATGTATAATTAATTATATATGTATAATTATATATATATAACTGCTCTCAGATTTTGACAATATCCGGATCATGCCCCCGGCGTGGCGTCCAAGGTGGGTGTTAACGGTGTGACCTCCATCGGTCAGGCGCATGTTTTTTTTTTTGGCAGCGGCGCTGGGGAATGGCTTGAGTCATGAGGTACCTCTTGTTATCTACCCCATATGCTCCATGTACAGGATGGTGCCCCCCAGTTATAAGTTGGTTTATAAACCCCAGTAACTATAGTTATATCTGCCATAAACCATAGTTATGGGAGTTATAAACCAACTTAGCTAACTATGGGGCACCAACTTGTATCTGGATAAATTTCATCACGACCTCACTGTGACCTCACCCTGGAATCATGGCTAAAGGGAATCATCCCAAAATGACCGCAACATGTCCGCCCTTGGCAGCTGGGGCTGGCATGACCGAACGGAAGTGTGTGGCCTTATTTCAGGTTAGTGCAATATTATGTAATTTACCCAGATGTATGGAATATTTACCAACATTTACCCTACAAATGGCCCAAATGTTGGTAAATATTCCTTACATGGAGCAAATGGGTACCATAGCTATCGAACATCTCCATCTTGAATAGGATGATATAGGAAAACTAGCTATAAGTGGGTAATTAGTTAAAGTGGATCCTCCATCAAATTAACAATAGACCCTGAAAATTGTATTTTTTTAGTGGACACTAATAAATGGCAGGGTCTATCGTGATTTAATGGATGGTAAATCCAATTGCAGGTTGTTCCAGTATGTTCAATGAATGGAAACGGACATAAACAAACGTGCATTGTTTTTGGAGGGACGTATTTTTTTTCAAAGATTGGGCTTTACCTTGAAGCCAATTGAAAGATTAAAGGATTTATCCATTGGGTGTTTACCATGCAGATCAATGGAATCGAAGGATTTTTTCGGCCGCGGGCCGCGCCAGTTGACCAAGATTGTTTCACTGGGTCGATTTTTAGCCATGCCCACATGTGTTCATGAATACAGGGATCCTGGGTTGTTTTATGTTGTTTTCGGCCTTGTTTTCCGCTCTCGATACGCATCAAATCATATCAAATCATATCAAATCCAATCCAGTAACCGCAGCTGAAATCAGCTGAACGGGTTGGCAAGTTGGTTTGTTGCAACCCCTAGTGGTTTCGCAGAATGACTGCGCTGTACCGTTTACATCCATTTACTAACTTGCCTTATATAACTGGTTTATCCCCCGAGTATATCCAGTTGTCCAATTGTACCGTGGTAAACTCAAGAATAGACGAAGCGTAATTGTACTACTTGTGTTTTATGGTAAACATTGACAAATAGGTTCATATCATTGGCTCGACCATATCATACACCAGAGTCAGGATGATTCACTAGAGACCCGATTCTTCGCATGGTGCATGATCCTTCAGCACATGAGTATGTCTTAAAATGTCTTAAATATGATTTATCCGACGCACCCCCAAGTGATTCCAAAAAAATACTACAATATGCTGTTTAATGTCAGAAAGTGGTGCCATTGCCATGCCACGTCATTGCGGATCCTTCCTCCAGAAAGGCCCCCCAATCAAAAGTTGCTCTATACCCAAATCTAACTTAACTTTATAGTAGAAGTATACACATATCTCTGATCTATATCACGTACCATCACGTACCAACCATAAATCCGACTTAAGTTTGTCAACAGAAACCACACAAATCGTCTGTAAATCCCCGGGCCCCGGCCAGGTTGGGCTCCGCTACGCGGAGGGGAAGAACATCCTGACCGCCACTTTGAGTCGGACGCCTCCCTCCGGAATGCCAGGCGCTTCCCGGTTGAGCGCAGCGGTTGAACATGGTCGAACGCTTGAGGGTTACCCAGGGTTCATGGGATATGGATAGTTTTCAGGGTTCATGGTTATATAAATACTGGTTGATGGTTTGGAAATGTTTGGAACATGGCTTTTATGATTTTCCATTCAGTTGGGAATTTCATCATCCCAACTGACTGAGAAGTTGAAACCACCAACCAGTAAGTTATATGGATGATATATGGATGATATTGGAGACAATTAAAAACCAAACCGGAATTACTCACTCTTCCAGAACAAATGATTATTGAAAATTGATAATTGATACAATAAATGATGATTCATGATATTCATGGGGAATTTAACCAACAATAATGGGATAGTCAATGGATAATTAATGGACCACCATTGGATGATTTTCCCAGCCACGAGTCCCGGAGGGTAACTGATTTAAACTTGGTGATTTTCCGCAGGGTTTCTCTGGTGTTTCAGCCATGAATTACTTATGATGTGAGCCTGGAACTTGGGACTTTGATAGTAATCAATTGGTGAATAACACATACATTAAAGTCATATCTGGTGCAAACTTGCGATGGCAAATCCTTGTCGCGTGCCGACGCGTTTGATACGCAGTCCGGACTGGCATAAAACGCTGGTGGTTTGTGGGCCCAGTCGACTGGAAGATCGTGGCAACACGGGTCCATCTACACATTGGCACCCAGATCCCGCGGCCGATTCCGATTGGGAGATCACGGAGGGAATTTCTTTGAATAATTGAATACAAAAGCCGTATACTTTTAGACAAAACTTTCTGAAGTGTTGGGAAACATGGTATATTTCATAGCCCATATGCTCCATGTATGGAATATTTACCACCATTTGCCCTAAAAATCACCCAAATGTAGGTTAATATACCAGACATGGAGCATATGGGATAGGGATACCATGGTATACCCCATTTCCAGACCAATTTGTTTGTTGGTTGTTTCTGTTTTGCGTATACGGCATCGCCGATTCGGATGATCTGTTCGCGACTGGGCCAAAAGGTACGATTCGAATGTACTATGGCGTGGATAAACATCACAGTTGTCACAGTTATGGCCCTTTACCCTCTGTTAAACTAACATAGCCATGGAAAACCACCATTTTTAATGGGAAAACTCACTATAAATGGCCATTTTCAAAAGCTATGTTAAATTACCAGAGGGTACCAGTCATAAATGTGATAAACATATATATATATAATGTTATAATTGGGTTTATCATTGATCATTCCACAAAAATGGGGTTATTTCACTGACCTATAACTGGTATTTCAGACCAACACATAGCAGAATATCAAGTTCTAAGGGATGAAGTCACCAAGAGAATCTGCGGGTTCTGTTCAACGGCTGGATTTGATCATTTTGGGTATGTTTCAGCATTGAACGCCCAGTTTGGTTCAAGAAGAGTTTTCATGTCAAGCGATCAATAAACCCCTGCGGGCTTGACATTAGCCATGTTTGGGGTAGCCCAATTTTCACCCATGCCCATGATGCTTTCGAGTTTTTGAATATGTCTTAAGTCCCTTCTCGCAGGGGTAACGATCCTGCAAATATATGTAAGCCGCAGACCAGAATTGATTGGGCCATATTTCATATGTTTGAGATAGAGAGTAGATAGAGATTACACATGATTCTTAGGCTCTACACATCTTACTCCATACATGTTTTTGGTGTTTTTGGGTTGATCAGATTTGATATGTGATAGAAACTTATACCCTCTGGTAAACTAACATAATGTGTGCCTCTGATTAGTGTGAGGGGCCCCCCCCTAAACAATTTGAGGATACTCTATAACTCGCACTTTTTTTTGCCCCCCCCTCAACATTTTTTTGGTCAATCAACTTAAGAAAGGATTTCAATTTACTTTCAATTGATTTCAATTTACTTTCAATTGATTTCAATTTACTTTTAATTAATTTAATTACTTTTAATTTACTTTTAATTTACTTTCAATTTACTTTCAATTTACTTTCAATTTACTTTCAATTGATTTCAATTTACTTTCAATTGATTTCAATTGATTTCAATTTACTTTTAATTTACTTTCAATTTACTTTTAATTTACTTTCAATTTACTTTCAATTTACTTTCAATTTACTTTTAATTTACTTTTAATTTACTTTCAATTGATTTCAATTTACTTTTAATTTACTTTCAATTTACTTTTAATTTACTTTCAATTTACTTTTAATTTACTTTCAATTTACTTTTAATTTACTTTCAATTTACTTTCAATTTACTTTCAATTGATTTCAATTTACTTTCAATTGATTTCAATTTACTTTTAATTTACTTTCAATTGATTTCAATTTACTTTGAATTGATTTCAATTTACCTGTAATTTACTTTTAATTTACTTTCAATTTACTTTTGATTTACTTTTATTTTTTTTTCACTCCCAAAAGTTGGTGCTCACAATAGAGTACCATCCAAGCAATTATATTATTGAGTAACTGAGCCAATCATGAGGTATCCCCTTGAAAAATTGTCTGGGTGTTTTTTTTTTTTAATAAGGGTTTAATATGGCACCTAATTAATTATTTGGAACACCTTGCATTTTAAAGCTTTAACACAAACATTGCTTTCTAAAGTAAAGGGACCAGCTTTAGCCAAAGAAAGGTGGAGAAAGGGTTTTGTGTTTTTTTTTCACTCCCAAAAGTGGGTGCTCACAATAGAGTACCATCCAAACAATTATATTATTGAGTAACTGAGCCACTCATGAGGTACCCCCTTGAAAAATTGTCTGGGTGCTGTTTTTTAATAAGGGTTTAATAATAAGGCATCTAATTATTTGAAAAACCTTGCATTTTAAAGTTTTAACACAAATATGGCTTTCTAAAGTAAAGGCATCAGCTTTACCCAAAGAAAGGTGGAGAAAGGGTTTTGCTTTTTTTTTCACTCCCAAAAGTTGGTGCTCACAATAGAGTACCATCCAAACAATTATATTATTGAGTAACTGAGTCAATTATGGTTTTTTCAGGTATCTAATTATTTGGAAAACCTTGCATTTTAAAGTTTTAACACAAATATGGCTTTCTAAAGTAAAGGCACCAGCTTTACCCAAAGAAAGGTGGAGAAAGGGTTTTGTTTTTTTTTTCACTCCCAAAAGTTGGTGCTCACAATAGAGTACCATCCAAACAATTATATTATTGAGTAACTGAGCCAATCATGAGGTATCCCCTTGAAAAATTGTCTGGGTGCTGTTTTTTTAATAAGGGTTTAATAAGGCATCTAATTATTTGGGAAACCTTGCATTTTAAAGCTTTAACACAACTATGGCTTTCTACAGTAAAGGGGCCAGCTTTACCCAAAGAAAGGTGGAGAAAGGTTTTTGTTGTTTTTTTTCACTCCCAAAAGTTGGTGCTCACAATAGAGTACCATCCAAACAATTATATTATTGAGTAGCTGAGCCAATTATGGTTTTTTCAGGTATCTAATTATTTGGAAAACCTTGCATTTTAAAGCTTTAACACAAACATTGCTTTCTAAAGTAAAGGGACCAGCTTTAGCCAAAGAAAGGTGGAGAAAGGGTTTTGTGTTTTTTTTTTCACTCCCAAAAGTGGGTGCTCACAATAGAGTACCATCCAGACAATTATATTATTGAGTAACTGGGCCACTCATGAGGTACCACCTTGAAAAATTGTCTGGATGCTGGTTTTTAATAAGGGTTTAATAAGGCATCTAATTATTTGGGAAACCTTTCATTTTAAAGCTTTAACACAAACATTGCTTTCTAAAGTAAAGGGACCAGCTTTAGCCAAAGAAAGGTGGAGAAAGGGTTTTTGTGTTTTTTTTTCACTCCCAAAAGTGGGTGCTCACAATAGAGTACCATCCAGACAATTATATTATTGAGTAACTGAGCCACTCATGAGGTACCCCCTTGAAAAATTGTCTGGATGCTGTTTTTTAATAAGGGTTTAATAAGGCATCTAATTATTTGGGAAACCTTTCGTTTTAAAGCTTTAACACAAACATTGCTTTCTAAAGTAAAGGGACCAGCTTTAGCCAAAGAAAGGTGGAGAAAGGGTTTTATTTTTTTTTCACTCCCAAAAGTGGGTGCTCACAATAGAGTACCATCCAAACAATTATATTATTGAGTAACTGAGCCACTCATGAGGTACCCCCTTGAAAAATTGTCTGGATGCTGTTTTTTAATAAGGGTTTAATAAGGCATCTAATTATTTGGGAAACCTTGCATTTTAAAACTTTAACACAAACATTGCTTTCTAAAGTAAAGGGACCAGCTTTAGCCAAAGAAAGGTGGAGAAAGGGTTTTTGTTTTTTTTTTCACTCCCAAAAGTGGGTGCTCACAATAGAGTACCATCCAGACAATTATATTATTGAGTAACTGAGCCACTCATGAGGTACCCCCTTGAAAAATTGTCTGGGTGCTGTTTTTTTAATAAGGGTTTAATAAGGCATCTAATTATTTGGAAAACCTTGCATTTTAAAGTTTTAACACAAACATTGCTTTCTAAAGTAAAGGCATCTGCTTTACCCAAAGAAAGGTGGAGAAAGGGTTTTGCTTTTTTTTCACTCCCAAAAGTTGGTGCTCACAATAGAGTACCATCCAAACAATTATATTATTGAGTAACTGAGCTACTCATAGGGTAAGTAATATGTTAATGAATAATAAAGCAATAAACAAAAATAAGAAAGGAAACAATGAAAAAAATGAAACAATAGTAAATAAAATTAAAATAAAAATGGAAAAGTAAAAAGTAAAAAATAAAAAATAAAATAAAAATAGATAAACTAAAAATAAAAAGAAATAAATAAATTAATAAAGTAACTAATTAATTTCAAAAAAAAAAAGCATTTGGAAAAAAAATAAGTTGAAAAAAAATAAATCTGGAAAACATTTCTCACAATAGAGGCTCCCCCCCAACAATTAGCATGTTACTGAATTAGGAGCAAGAAATTTCTCACAATAGGGTACCAGGCTTCTAATCAGAGGCAAACATTATAGCTATTGAAAATTGCCATAGAAATAGTGGATTTACCCACACACAAATGGTGATTTTCCATAGTTATGTAAACGTTTACCAGAGGGTAGATACAATATGATCCAATGCTTCACCTCTCTGGTTCCCTCCTGACATCTCCAACGTTCCAAGAATTATCAGAAGTGGGGTTCACAATTACCAGAGGGTATAACACTGGCTGAATTCGATTGGGTTTATGGTAGATATAACGAACTAGTAAATGGGGGTTATATTGGTTTATAATCCATATATAATCTGGTTGGTGGTTGGAACATGTTTTATGGCTTTCCATATATTTGGAATAGTAACCCCAACTGACAAACTCATATTTTTCAGAGGGGTAGGTATACCACCAACCAGATTATTGTCTTTTCTGGGATTCGTGGGATTATGGGATGCTTACATAAGTACATTTCTGTATGTAGGTTTCGCACATTTCTTCATTTTCAACACTGGAGACGGATGGAAACACGTCCTTTTTGTTCAAGGGTGGCTCAGACACCGTGCGTGGATCTACTCTCTGGAAATCTAGAAACAGCTTGGAACACGGTCCCTTCGACTCGTTGAGCTCATTAAAAATGACTCGTTGGTGGTTTGGAACATGGCTTTTATGACTTTCCCATCATATTGGGAATGGAATAATCATCCCAACTGACTCATTCATATTTTTCAGAGGGTTAGGTCAACCACCAACCAGATGATGGTTTTGCACAGCTCGATGCCAAAAACGTATGTTTGTTTTTTTTCAAAACGCCGCCTTTAAAATGCACGGCGCGTCAGGATCACCAGGACAAGTGCACGAGTTGAAAATGTATTTCGCGGGGCAGCCTGGATGTTTATCATCGAAGTGGGGGGAGTTCCAGCCGTGTGTTGGATGACCTGCCTCGGGTGTTCCAGGAGATTTCTCTGGGTTTTGAGCAGAAAAAGGAAAATCGGGAATGTCATGGCTGGAAAAAATTGAAAAATGTTGAAAATCAACCTTAGATATCATGATCATCTACAGGAAAAATGTTGAAAATCAAAGCTGTAGATGGCTTATGATGTTTCTCATGTTTATCCGATATCCTGAAAAATTGAATTAAAGATTGGTCAAATATGGTCAAATTGCACGCAGCTACTGCTGACAATCTGACTTAATTCAGTCCGACTATCACAAGCCATGCAGAAATCTATCTTTGAGGTGCGAAAGATCACTGAGCGATTAAACCTGGGGACGGAGTTCAAATTTTCCTATCCTGACAAGGACGCCGTTGTTCAAACGCCGTTTTGTGCCCGCACCGGTGATAAAGGGGATGATGGCAGGTGATTTTCGAGTGGATATCCAGCATCAGATTCGAAGATGTTATGTTTGTTTCTTATTTATGAGCAATGCTGCAAATACATGCAAATACCTCTATAATCCTCTATAGATACTGGTTCAATCTGGCTCATCATTAGTTCCAATGGCGATTTGGGTTCCAGTTGATCACATTCTTTCAGTTGGATTGAAACTTCTTGAACTCATCAACAAGTGGATTGTTACAAAATTACTATTAGTATCTATTGGTTCACATCCACATTTTTCTTAGTTGCACCCATATTTGGCCCAGCTACTCAACCACCAACCAGATTGTCGTAGATCCATTTTGGAATATCCTGATGTTTGCTGGGGAATCTTCCCAGTTAAATGATGTTAAATGTGTTTAGGTATGTTTAGGTATGTTTAGGTATCAATCCCGGCCCTGGAAAAAATCCGCATATAAAATGGGTGGATCGGCAGACATCACCAGAGGTTGTTTCTTTGGCAGGACTCAGGCCTGAGTTTGGGCTATGAGTACATCTTCAGGCGGGACATTCCGAGAAAACGACTCCGGAGGATGCGGTACGTGGTACCTGGCTGTGGGTTCGAGGTTGCCTCAATTTATGGCAATTCGAAGAGGAAAAATGGTGATCAACTAGTCAAAGCCTGTGAACAGGCTATTAAATAACCTACTTATTTAACACTCTGAGTTGGGATTTCTTGAAAGCTTCTTGGAAAGATAAGTCCAAGTTGGTTCATGTTTTTTTTTTTCAGATGGGCTCAAACTTTCAGCAGCTGGGCAGTGCTTCAAGATCTAGATTCTGGATCCCCAGCTTTCGTAGACGAAGGTAGACAGCACAGAACTGCTATGCACTCGTGGCTGGCAGAAGTTGGTTTTCAACAGGGGTGTGTTTGAAAATGTGGTATACCCATTATATATATATGTATATATTATATATATATGTATATATGTATATATGTATATTATATATGTGTCTATATATATATATGTATATATATGTATATATGTATGTATGTATGTATGTATATATATGTATATATTATATATATATATGTATATATGTATATTATATATGTATATATGTATATATGTATATTATATATGTATATATATGTATATATGTATATTATATATATATGTATATATATGTATATATATATGTATATGTATATATATGTATATGTATATGTATATGTATATGTATATGTATGTATATATATAAATATGTGGATTTAACGTGGTGGTTTTAATCAGGAACACAATGATCAGCCATCAAATGGGGGCTACAGCATTTTCAGTCCCAAGCCATGTGATCCCCGGACACATCTGAGCTAAAGCCAGGAATGCACGCATTCAGGGCCTGCTGGATACGGACGGTGCCTAGGATGGATCCACTGGAAATTCACCAACTGCGATTCAATAGGGATCGAGCAGGAGTTTAGTCAACAAACATTGGTGTGCTGGGGATGTATATATATATATTATATACATATATATTGTGTGTATATATATATAACTATGTATATATATATATAAATGGAGTATAATGGGTATGTATTCAACAGTACGGTATTTGGGTCTGAAAATGGGGCCAAATTGGGGACACATGATGATTCCACAGGTCCACACTGCCACCGATTTTTGGGGCTTCAAAGAAGTGCCGGTGGAGGGCTGTGACCCTTGCACTTTCATGAAATCATCAGAATATGAGCTACATCAATGAGCTGAATGCAAAGATATATAAAGATATCAGAGTGGGTATGGCTAGTCTTACTCTCCCTTGTTTTCTTCTCTGAAATGAACGGACTTTTTTGTGGGATGTCAATCGTCTACCCTTGCCTTTTTGTGTCTGCACAAAAAAATGATCTGAGATAATTTGTTTTCGTATTTGGGCACTGCTCAGATACTCATTGGCGCATTCACGTCGGCGTAAAACATGTGCTGTTCAACTTGCATCGATGTGACTTGCTTTTTGCGGCTGGTTCTCTTCGTGCTGTTTTTCGATAGTCTCTGGTAATCCGTTTCGTAGCTTCTGGAAAAGCAGCCCCCTTTTGATAGGTAGCTCATCTACTGGCAATCTATACCATACTATGTTGGTCGCTGCAATGTTGGTTCTTAACAATACATACGTACGCACGTACGTACATCCATCCATGCATGCATGCATTCATGCATTCATGCATGATATATATATATATATACAATATATATATATATATATACACAATATATATATATTTATATTTATATATATTTATATTTATATATATTTATATTTATATATATTTATACATATATATTTATATATATATATATATTCTATGGTTTTACAAATTCCGCATGTTGGGGGTTGAAGACCACCGGCCCGGTGTCAGCGCCGTCACTTTCACCAAGGCAAGGTCAGTTGCTGCGTCCACGACGCCATGGGCTTCGGCTTCAGCGGTGTCATCGACTATGCGCGTGGCGACTACAAGCCGCCTCGGCCAAAGCTGCGGTGCAGTTGGGGATTAAACATGAAGAAACATGAGATGATATGAGATGAAACCATAGAAACATCAAGCATCCAAAATTGGATTTAAGATTTAACCAACAATAGTGGGATTATCATCAACATCACTCGCAACATAAAAGGGATGGGGGATTGTAATTGAACCAGCAAACATACGATTCAACCAACACTGTTTTGGGGGCATCATGAGGATAGTTATAATCCGACTAATGGTTCTTACATGTTCTTACTGGAGAGGGATAGTAGAGGTGACTAAAAATGGGGCGATTATACCCCAAATGTCAATTTTAATATAGGGAAAATTCTGATGAACCAGTGGATTGCGGGCACCCCCATGATATCTGTCGAAGGGAGGATTCAGGCATGTCTATGTTATATTATATATATATGTATACTGTATACTATATATACAAAAACATGTACATATACATATACATGTATAATCATATATTAATATATGTATTTTTTAATCATATTGCCCTTAATAATTTATATAATATAATATGAGTTGCGCTGTATAATTTATATATATAGAACAAATTTATCTCTATATATATATCATTGCAACTATAGTTGGCACATGTGCTGATGGGCAGTTTATAAACCGTTAACAAATGATTGGCTGACCTACACATCAACATTCACATTGTTTTATTGAGAAAAACTGGAACATACCACCCTGTTCTTAGTAGCTAAATCCGTTGTTCTTGTCAAACCAATTTCGGGTGTGCAAATCGTCATTCTGACCTCGATTACCCATTTTAGTTACTGTAGTTCCCACAACCCACCACCCTTCACCATGTCTGTTTCTTGTCCTGTCGGTTCAGCCGGACCGTTTCTGATTAATCTTCCATTTCAATTTTGGCTGCTGGAAAATAATATCCATTTCATTTTGTTTTACGTGGTTCAAACCTCCACTTCAAAAGACTATGTTGACTCAAAACCTCCATTTTGAATGTGCTGTTTCAACTTATAGTCAGGCCCAAAAAGATCGAAAGTCAAACAAATGCCAGCATTTTGGACTCCGATTTATAAGTCACTTCTATCTAACTTTGGAGATTGGTGTGCCCTTTACTAAGGTTTGTCTGAAAATCGCTAGCGGTGTAATATATATATATATGTACGTTTGTTGCAGATGTTGCATTAGTACACCGGTACACCCGCTCCCTCTCTGTCAAATTGATTCAAGTTGCAACTTACCGATTCTGACAGCAATCATAAGGTGTTATCTCGGTTTTATTTCATTTGGAAGAGAACTTTGCCAGTCGCAGCATCAGGAAATCCCAAAAACACACCTCCGATTTTCGCATGGAACCTGAGAAAATATTTTGGTTTTAAGGAAAACCAACTGGAAATGGTGCAACTTTGGGTTTCCATCTACCAATGGATTTATTTAAGGAAACATCTTTACCGGAAAGCATCGGTTTTCCCATGAAATCGGGTTCGGTTTTCCTGCCAATTTCCTGCCAATTTTCGAGGGTAGACCCCTCCTCTTCCCAAGGTTTGGCATGGTGATGCAAGTGGCGCCACAACCGGAGCCTGGACAACAACCGCCGCTCTAGCACGGCAGATTTTGTGGTGCGCAACATGCCGCGTTGCGGCAAGTGCGTTACCGGACGTGTTGTTGGGCGACCGGTTGGAGGATCTGCTGGAAGTTTATATTGGACAAATGTTGTTGTTATGCGCCGCATCTTTGGGGATCTGTGTTTGTTTTTTTTGGGGCATCAGAAACCATGAAATTCGACAAACAATTTCCTTGGAGTTCACATGGCCGGTGTAACCAATTGGGTCAGCAATCACTTGGATTTGTCTCTCTTCTCAATCCGATGAGGGCGAGCAAAAAAGCAGCAACTGCGCAGCAAAGATTTCGGGTGCGTTACGAGTTTCTCATGGCAGCACCGTGAAATTTCAAAGCGGTGCAGGACCGCGTGGGTCAAAAAGTTGGGTTCAGCTGGTTGCCGGGTGGTCTCAGGGGTAGGCAATGAGAGAAAACAGAACGCACCAGGTGATGAGCAAAAATCAATACTTCAAACATATCCCAACTGTGTATATATATAATTATATATATATGTATATATATATTCAATATTATATGTATATATAATATTATATACAATCAATTATATAATATTTATATATCTATATTTACATTGCGTGTCATGACATATGTATATAATACATACACATGGATGAATATCCATTCAAGAATGCCTAGACACGCCATAGAATCAACACAGTAGATGCCTGCGACGTCACTGGACTATGAATGATTGTGATGAGGGGAATCATATGGAATCATGCGAATGGCCTGATTTCAGTTTCAGTGAATTATTAAAAAAAAGTCACAATTTATCCATTCATCCAACTATACAGTGTTTTAGGATCATTTGCAATCTCGTTGACTCAGTGAATGATGTTTTGTTGTGTTGTTGTGTGAGACTCGTTGACCTTTTGTTGTAAGTATGCGGAGCATACCAATTCAGTACTAGCAATCGTTAAGACTAGCTAAGATCTCGGACGGGAAATGCGCAACAAACGACTGGACTTAGATGGAGCACCATAGGACATACTCAAAGGTCTTTATACAGTGTGACCATGTGGCCAAAAAAAATGACAGAACTGGATGAACAAAAAATTTCGTGTTTGATGCTAAGCACATGCAAGCATACTGGTTCTTATAAACGATCGTACAAATGAAGTCAAACAAAAATCCATGCTGACTTTTGAGGCTTATTAGTAGTTGTTGTGTTGTTGTCTTAAAAGGATCAGTCCATGAGCGGCGAGCGGATTTTGATTTGTTTTGTGTAAGTTTACATTTGGAATCATTTGGATACTTGGGTTATCCCCCAACAAAAACATATATCACATTGATGTTGGGTTTCTCCAAGGGCTATTATTGTTGTTAATTGCCTAGAAACTTCACTGGAACTAGCTGGATCTTACTTAAAATGGAGAATAGTAATGAATATAATAATATATATAATAATCATGTCCACGTCCAACGATCGATGGTCTCGTACTTTACGTGATTGCTACGAATGCGGGTATGTACAGTAGTATACCAGCTAAACTTATACCCTTCAACACATCCAGCGATTGATGGTCTAGTACTTTATGTGATTGAGACAAATACGGGCATCTACTATACCAGCTAAACTTATTTTTGAAGGGAATCTAAGATTGGCCATGTGATAAGGGGCGAGAAGAGGAATTCCTTCGAGGAATTCATGTTATTGAATTTCAGCCAAGTCTTGCCATTATGAGCAAAAGCGTGTCTATTTTGCAAGTGCCAGATATTGATGATGTAGATGTTATTCACCATGATCTAATAGTGTCCGATGGGTTCTCTAAAGTATCTTCCCTATCTTCATGTGGATGCTGCTTAGCCTGCTGTGCTGGTGATTCCGATGTTTGTAGCTTTTCAATTTGAGATCCTATTCCTTGTTGGTTTATATGGATACTTGCCCACTTTAGCATGTTTATACATATGATATCATATGATTATATATATATATACCTATTTGCTTGTTTATGTACCCACTCTTGCGCAGTCCGTATACAGTGATTGGCTCGTCGATGGGTGCGGGTCAATATGTGTATATATATATATATGTATAGATAGTTATATATATATATAGTTATATATATATAGTTATATATATATATAGTTATATATATATAGTTATATATATAGTTATATATACTGTATATATATGTTACATTATGTAGTCCTCAGTTGGATGTACAATGATGCACATCCATTCTGCTCCTTGTCTCTAGATATTCAGCAGATCACCAAGGCTGAACCACTCTCCTATCCTCCAGGACATTCCAGGACTTTACTGTAGATGTTTCATCCAAACCATGATGAACATCTGGGTATGGATCAAAACCTAACATAGGTACCAGCTGGGGCTCCCCAGTTTGTTGCTTACCCCCCATGTGACCCCTAGTTCGAGTCATAAACGCATATAAACCCAACACGTCTGCACCTACTGAACTAAACCAACCTCCAAACTGGTGATGGCATGTGATGGCCATCCATGGCAGTCACTTCCGGCGCTGGATGCCATGGCTCCTTGCGGTGACCGTGGCCAGCTTCACGCTGCCGCGCGGCTTTCTGGGCGCAGCTTTTGGTGGACGAGGTGTGGCAAAGGTGAAGGGCTGTAGTGTTGAGACACCTAAGAATTCTGAGGAAATGCCTCTTGCTTTCTGCGGATTGTGACAAGCTTGACATTTTCATGGTTGCGATGGTTGCCGACTCACGTTTTGATTGACTTTTGTTCCTTTGTCCAAGTGTCTGGAATACATTGACAATCTAATACCGCGAGGTTTGATTTTTTTCAGTCTGGTTGGTTCCATCTCCAGCCATTGTGGCAGATACCCGCAGTATCCCCAGTTTTGGTGAGTGAAACGCCCAGATTTTGTGCAGCTGTTCCACCAAAAATCACGGAACCCGTGTCATCGCAGCTCTACTGCGACAGCTGCCATTGCTCATTCCCCTGGCAACTCGGACCCAGAAAGATGCTGAGGTGGGCACCTCTGGTATTGCAATATTTCTACAGTAACCATTCCGGATGCCTATCGCCAATCGCCGAATGAATGATCCATAAACAACTCTGTATATATATATATATATTATATATGATATTGCCAGTTCCTTGTATGGGTACAGGCTGGTCAAACATCGGGTACCAGCTGGGATGCACAACTGGCTTGGCATTCTTAGGTTCACCTGGAAACATCAGATCCCCCCAAGGTTAGATCGTTGAAGATCAGTCGTAAGCGTGATCAAGGCTGGTGGTTCCAACATGTTCTAACCGATCCTGCTGAATTTTGACCAACTGTTTCAAACACTAGATAATTAAAATATATGTTAGATTAGTTATTTGTTTTTTTTTAAAAAAACAGTAAATTAACATATTATGTTGACTAACTGTTCTATCTTTCAAAAACTACATGTTATATTCGCATCAACATAATAAATATAGATTAATTATTCAAACATGTCTTGCCTACGCTCCTATGTTCATGGATTCAGTTCGATGGGCGAAGGGGTCGCGGCAACGCCAGGATTGAGGTTACCAGTGACCTCACCATGATGAATATACTGTTGGCGGTTTAAAATATGTCGGCTCCAGCGCGAAGAAACAGATTGACTTTTAATTCCAATGTTTATGTAAAGATATGTATATAGATTATATATATATAGATAGATTATGTAGAAATTATCTTACTATATTGTAGATCATTTTGGACCGTTGGTTTGTCCATTTACCTCGCGTTTTCCCTCTTTTTTTTACGGCAAAGAAGTCACCGCGTTGCGTGGTCACCGGCAAGCCGCGGCAAGCCGGTGCCGTGCCAAGGCAGAAGCCGTCGGATCCTGCAGGGACTGCTGCGTGGCGGACTTTTGCCGCTGCCAACGCTGCGAGTGTTGGCAGATCCTACGAAGTTTGGGCTATCGCACCCCGTACCTTGAAGGTCAATGCCGAAATTGCTGCGGCTTGAGGATGAAACAGAATATGAAACATATGAGCAAGGGTTAAAGATTCAAAGGTCAGAAATCTTCGAAGTTAAGAGGTCTCGTTTTTGGAAAGTCTCGCAAGCCACGGAAAGTGATATGGTGCACTACCAGCGATGGCGTGACCCCCTAATGGTCACCTCTCATATAACTCATAAGTAAGGATCCGCTGGCCGGGCCAAATGTTATGGTAAATGATGATAAATAATAGTGAATGATGGTAAATGATGATCAATTATGATCAACTATGATAAATTATGATCATCATTCACCATCATTTACCATCATTTATCATTACCAACACTGATTATCCAATTATGATAATTTATGATAAATTAAAATGTGAATTGTGATAAATCAGTGTTGGAATTGTGACGTTCCAATCTGATCTTCCTGATGAGTTACAGTACGATCCATTGTTTTTTGTCAACGGTTATACACCCTGGTTGTGAACACATGTTTATCTTGGCTATCCAAACATGGAAAAAACATGGAAAACATGGAACCATGGAAAACAACATCTACTTTGTTTCAAAACATTCCATTTGATCGCATTGATCATCATTTTGATTGCCCTTTGTATCTTGTTCACACCCTGTGACGCCATCCTATTTCTGAACAGTTTAGTGCCCGATGGAAAAAACAACTCAAAGGTTGGATGTCAATGAGGCGCTAAAGCAAGGCCGGCGCGGATCGAACATGTGGATTTGTCCATAGGGATTAACTATCAACAATTGGGATTTGTTGGGATTTCATGGGAATACAACTTTCATATAACATGATGATGCACAGTAAGTATACAACCAAATTGATATGATATCTGATACCTCATGGTTTCTCTGAAAATAGGCTACCTCAATTTTGATGGAGTCTCACCATGTTTTTCCAGATAGATTGTCCATTTTCGGGATAGACCGGTACATATCCCCTTCTTTTGGACAAAGCCAAAACGGTGAGACCTGGGAGGCTTCGAGACTGGAGTAGTGGCCAGGGATGAGGGATTTTCCTGGGGTCAGTGAGGGTAAGAAGGATTGATTGATTGATCGATTGGTTGACTGGTTGGTTGGTTGGTTGGTTGGTTGGTCGGTTGATATTGTTCAGCATTGATATTGTTGATATATGTTCATATACTTGGGATATTTTGGGATGCAGTAATGGTTTAGAGTCGCCAGTCCTTAAACGTCTCCAGGCGTTAAAGTTCTTCATAGCAGCGGGTCCCATTCAATCAATCCATGGGTGAGAACCATGTCCCCATGGTTGTTCTCGTTCTTGTTTTCATTGCCAGCATACTGGCAAACTCCAACTTACTATGGATTAAGCCCCAGATTTTTGAATATGTTTGTTACCCTCAGGTAACCTAACATAGCTATGGACAATCACCATGTTTCATGGGTAAATCAACTTTTTCTATTGCCATGTTCAATAGCGAACTGTTAAATTACCAGAGGGTACCCTCAGGTAACCTAGCTGAAAAACTGAAAGACCCGGTGTTTACCTTGGAACATCTTGGACACGAGCTACATGGGTGCCTTGTCCATAGCTATGATCTACATTTCACTGGATTTATCACAAAATGGTATAACAAAAACATATTGATTATGATTATGATCCATTTCTGGTTTAAAAAAACCTGGATGTTCTAGAACCAACGATGATTACGATTAAATCCCGTTCCTGCGTTTATTTTTTTTGAAAAAACACATTCTACTAAAGCCTCTGCTCAACCACAATGGTTTCGTTCGGGCTGGAGCTTTACCGCGAGGAGTGCTGAGGGCCGAAGCGTTGCAGTGGCGGGAAGCCTCCTTGCCTGTGTGGCATCCAGTGGTGTCCCGGTGGAAGGTGGAATAAATTTGGGTGCCATTCGGATCCCTTGGGCCCAGTGAATGGGTTAAATGTATTTTAAGTTTATTTTTATATATTATGTGTTTTTTCCTATAGTATAGTAACATTTTCTTAACATTTGTTATAGAATCTTATCTATATAGCCAGTTTTAGGATCGATATGTTTGTGCCCTGCCGTTGTTTTTTGCATGAAATTGGACATATATATCAGGAATGAATCGCTGGTGGAGCAGGACATTTTCTTGAAGACCCCCCTACTGTGTTCCAACGGAGCATTTCAAAACAGCTACATTCTTGAGATTCAACATGGAGCAAGTTGTTTGATTAATCTTGCAGATAGGTTCCATGTGGCATCGGAGTTTAGTTCATAGAATCTTATTCTGATGTCGTCTGAAAACATATTGGATCCACGTTTTCAACATTTGCATGTTTTGTGGATAGTTATAAAATGTTATAAACATGAGTCGGAGAAAGGCTTTAAATCCTAGCTTTGAGTTTGAACATGAACCCAGCTGTTTGTCCGTTTATATACATGTTTGGTTCCTCCTTGGAGGGATTTCACCGAAACTGAACAGACATCAAAGCGGGTGACATCACCCAGCACCAGCTGCCATGGGCACAGATCCGCAGCACCAACTCCAAACCAGGCAGATTCGCAGCTGGAAATCCGACCTTCGAAGATCGCGGGGCTGGGACTTTTTGCAGCGGAACCATTGGAGGCAACGACTCTTTTGCAGCTTGGCTGATCTCTAAGCCACATTAAAATACACCATGGAAATATATTAAAATTGGAAACTCAGACGTATTCAATTTTGTGTGTATGCTTCCCCTCCTTTCCCAAATGGGGAGTGGGAGGACACTGTCCAGACCTGTCCAGCATGACTGAACTAGCCTTGTGTTGAAGTGAGCCACGGGCTTGGAACCCCAAATGGGTGGATAGTCGTTGTCTTTCTACCCATGGTACCATGATGAGATCCGTTGGTTTGTACCAAACTCACCTGAACAAAAACCTACTGTATCATATTATATTATGGAATGCTAGCTAGTACTTGAATAACATGCCGATTCGGCTTTGACATTGAGCACATCGACTTTGGCTTGGGTTCATCCGCCACACTCCTTCATGTTGATTGCAGCTTGTCTTTTCCCCTTCATGAACTGGTAAACTAACCTGGCAATGAACATTTCCCCTTTCTACTTGTAGATGGTGTTTCATGAAAACTGGGACATTAGGATTTAGACTTGCTAGACGATCAGAGGTTGTGATTCATATGTTTGGCAAACATACCTGGAATGGTTAGGGAGTCATCCCATATCATCCAATGGCCGCAAGTTTCAGCTATTTTGAGGACTATAATTCAATAATTAAGCCAGAACATGTTCTGTAAAGGTCATATTGCTTCACCCTCTTGAAGGCATCCAACTTCCAGCCTTTCAGCGCTTGAGGCCTCCATATCAAGGTCTGAGTTTGCTGAATGCCGACCTGAACAATTTGGACTACACTCAAGATGAAGACAACTATGTGTGGTGCCCCCCAGGCAGGCTTATGGAATTGGCTTAATACACATTACCCTTTGGTAATTTAACATAGCTATGGAAAATAACCATTTTTTAATGGGAAAATCCACTATAAATGGCAATTTGCAATAGCTATGTTAAATTACCAGAGGGTATCACTGAAATCAGGTAACTATCGAACAACATAGCCCAACCTGGCTGAAATGAGCCTTTTCGTTTGTGTGCCGGATTTCCCTGAATTGCTGGCTGATTGCGAGAGTTTAGCTGTCAGTGTTCCCCTCCAAGACACATCCACCTCCAGATGTTTTTCCTCAGGATAGGTGATTTTGAGGGTTGATGTTAGATATGTTAGTTGGGGGAGATGGTCATTTTCCATCAGTTGGGATTATTGAAACCCCTGACTCCCCAGATTTTGTGGAGCCATGTGGCTTTGAGACCGACGACAAAGTGCTGGGCCCATGGACCCGAGTTTCTGCGTGGATGGTCGAGAAGTGGCTTCGAGTTGCCTGGAAGCATTGTCAGGGGCGAAGCTCGATGGGTATACTCCTACTTTCCACGAATTTCCGCCTGGAATCCAGAGCAAAAAGATCAAAAAGCAATGGCCACCATGACACCATCAAACTGCAACACCATGGCCACTGGACAAAGCATTACAAAAGCCATGTTTGTGATGGGAAGGTTGCTGGTCTCGACAATGCCTGAGGGAATGTAGCTTCCCACGTGTGGCTGGCCAATTCCCAACCGTACTGTTCCGTGTTGGATGTTAAAAAAAAAGTTGCCGGGGATAAAAAAAGTATCGAATAGCGTATTTGTTATATTATATTTATACCTGCAGAAATGATCAGAATTGTATAGAATTGTGATCTTCAGTTTCCAGATCCATTTCCCGAGAAATCATGGTGAAAACAAATGGCTTGAGGCATTCCTTCTTTGCAAACCACAAGAACAAGAATAACAAGTGCTTGTTTTGAGGTCAGATCAAGTTCAACCACCTTTCCAAGTGGGACGATGAATTACAACAAACCTCATTTCATATGTGCCAGGAAAACCTAAGTCTTGGAATATTTCCCAAGTACAGCTACTGGACATGTTTTTTTAACTGCAAGAAAAGAAGATTTGTTTGCGTACGAGTGCCCAAGAGACGGAGAACTTGCATGAACTTGCTATGTACCAATCGGGTGCGGGCATTGGAACATGTTGTAATGAAACAGGCCACTTACCATACATGACCCACCCACGAGTTCTGAGGTGACAATCCAGCACGCTTTGTGAATGGGGCACGTACGTTGGAGCAATGCAAGGACCAATTCGCTGAACCTAGTTGTTGGAAGGATGAAAGTGTGAAAGTGATGACCCTGGCATCTACACACTTTCAATGTGCCAGGAGGTCTCTAGGTGACAGTTGAAGTCTTCTGGAAGACATGTCTTTCTTCCAACTTTTTTACAGCTTAAAATGTGGTGTCTAATTGTTTTTTCCCCTTCAATAGATTCACAGATATCGCGCAAAAAACACGCATACCTGGTAGATCATTTTCCGGAAGGGCCCCCCCTCCCAATAGGTACCTTACAATGATCACTATAGGATTTGTGGTGGACGTATCGCTTCGTTAGCTCAGAGGGACGCCAGGAGCCTCCGCAACGCTGGCAGCCAGGAGGTGAATCTGGAGATCTGCGAGTTGGGAGAGGTGGCCTATTTTCGCACCCTGAAAGCCATCCCTGTGGGCAGCGAACTCTTGGTCCCTTGGGCTGAGACGTTTCGTTAGGTGTCAATGCTGGCAGAACAAGGGATGTTGTTCAATGTTAAGTTCATGCTTTCTAGTGAGCTCTAGCACTTATTCATACTTATTCATTCTCATTCATGGTGTTTTTTTCCAAATTTAGAGCTACAGGTTATGCTGGTGGTTGGTCGCCATCGCCTCGGGGGATTTGCCTGGTCAACCAGCCCAGTGATCAGTGGATCTCAGTGGATCTCAGGTGGACTATGGCCCTGGATATTGGTCTGACTTCGGTGGCTGCCAGTGAGGCATGCAGATCTTAAGATCTGCGCAGCTTATGCGCGATGGTTACGCTGATTGTTGTTCCCAGTTGGTCCCAGCTGGTCGACCAGAGAAGAAATTGGTTGAAGGGGGGAACAAAAAACGATGATTTGAGGCGGAAATTCCGAGATCCTGCTGGAAATTCCTGATGGTTCTTGCTGTTTTGCATGGCCAGATGTTGGGTACGGGTTGGGTACGCTTCGTGGGGGCAATCGTGAATTCAGTCATGAACTTGGATTATCCCGGATGGTTTTTCTTCTGTATGGCGTATCCAAAGTACAGCTTGAAGGCTGCGGCTACTGGATAAACCGTGGTTAAATACGTTTATGTTGAAGACCATGTATCATAATATTATATGATATAAGTGGACAAAAGTACACCCTGCAAACCAACTATATACCTAGTTGGTGTGTGCAGTATAGTTTAGGATAGATTGGACATTTCATGCCATGATGTGTCTGTGTTTGTTTGTGGCTCAAAGCCAGGGGATTACATCACAAGATATCCACCCTTTTTTCAGGGCTGACATCGATTTTCACAGCAAGGTGATGCCCTTAGTCTGTGGAAGTTGATGGATCCCAGGGATCGTCATTCCATGCCATGGCGTCTCTGGACGGTTTTCAGGGCCACTTCGATATGTTGTACGACGATGAACGCAACCAGGTCAGGCATCACAGGTTTAATTATCGGATCATCATGGGATGTGTTTCTATAGTGCAATTTGGCTGCAGGTTTTGTTTTGAAGATGTTCCTGTAAACAAAACCTGTGTTTTGTTCATCTCTTGCCATTCCGAGCTTCGTAACTTGCTTTACCGATAAGACAAAGTAACACCAGTTTTATGTTCACTGACCATGTACTGTACAACAATAGGCAAGGCTAAAGACATGTTAGTTTCCTCACATATTCTGGTCAGTTTAATGTAGATACTGTAGGGCGCCCCGATTCATAAGTTGATTTATACTCCTACGATCTCCTGCGCATCATAATTCCAGCAATGATATCATTGTACTTAAGCAACTTACCTATCGTTTTCCGGTCGCCCAAACCCTGGGACGAACTGAACGTCGCACCTTGCGGCCCATGTCTGTGGCCTCCTTTGCAAATGGGGTATATCGGTATTTCCCCCAAAATGGACCTTTCATTGATGTTTCGTGTGGAAGAATGGTGACATTTTGATAGTGATTGGGAATCATTGGGATCTAATCTTTAAATATCTTTAATACAACAAGACTCAACAAGTAACATGATGATATCAATTATAAGGTTTCGATGTACCAGATTTTTAGACAAACCCTTTGACCCCTTTTCCTTCATATAAAACAAGACACGTCAGATAGAGATGGGGGGACGAACATCCATTTGCCAGCTGCTTTGAACAGAAGCTTACCAGGCTTTTGACCCATAGCCATATATGCCATATTGTGCCATGGTCAAGAGTTGGAGTTTTTTTCTGGTCATGAAAAAAACATAGTGATTTATATAATATGGATATTCCCATTCTGGGATGGATTGCCATGAACATATCATATTGGTGCTATATATATATGCATATTTAGATATACTCAAAATATGCCATCATAATTGTCGGTCAAACCCTCATGGTTTGATGGTGAATTCCATTGAATTCCCATAGGTTTTTGACGGTTTCGACGGTTGAAGCAGTCCCGGCGACGCCAGGCATATGCCGAGGCCATCCGACGGGCAGCTGAAAGGCGGGGCAGCTGAAAGTGCCTTTTTTTTAGGGGTACCTTCGAATGATTTACCCTCCAGTGAATTAAGAGTTCGACCCTGCCATTCATCGGGGTTGGAAGATTAGTGAAACCACTAAAAATTGGTTATTTAAGATAGCCATGGTATAGATGCCCCATTTATAGATGGTTTACCGAAAAAAAAATGGTGGTTTTCATGGTCTATGTTAATTTACCAGAGGGTAACATACGGTGGTTGGTTGCGAACTCTTGCACCGATAGGTGGTAAACATCCCGCAGGCTGAAAAAGGGTTCCCACCGTAGTGAACTGGAAAAGCACCATTTTGAAAAGGTATATAATCTATAACTCTCTATGAATGGGCCATGGCTTCCATTGCCTATGTTCAAGTATGGGAAGGTAAGAATTTGCAAAATTCTGGGTGGAATCAGAATCAATATACTCAATAAACTCAAGTAAGATCAAATAATAATCAATCGGGAAAGCACTTAAGCAAATCGAGATGATTGCGGAGAAAAGGGGCACGGGCAGGGGATTGAAGCTGCGATCATTCTGCAAACATTGGGAGAGTTGCTAAAACACTTAAGCAGCGCAAGTCAACCATAATTACGATGGATCGAACTATTCTGTACTCCACGTCACCATAGACATGCACGTCAAGAGAAAAAATCGGCCCATACACATCCATACAGAACGAGTTTCTGAAATTGCTTGGGTGCTTCATAATTTGTCATGTTTTTTTGGAAAACACGTTTTTTTTCAATTTTTTTTCGCAGCAGCGTTGGTTTACAGACCGCAACATTGACCCAATCTTAATCTCATATCTCACAGGCAGAAACGCTTGCAGTGGTCCGCACGGTTCGATTCTTTCCATTTCCCACAGGTAATGATCGTGTTGTATAGAAGAAGCAAGGGATTTAAGCATCTCAATGGTGATTTTTGTTTTTCTGGATGTTGTCGCCATACTGTGGATGATTGCGAAATAATCCTGCACCACCTTTTTTCATGGTTGAAACATGTTTTTCAACCCTAAAAATCGTGGGATAAACTCGGATAAACTATGATAAACTACCGTTTGAACAACTGGTGCAGGATTTCACTGGCCCACCCACCGGATATCATGAGTCCATCCCCTGCGCGAGATGATGATCCCCAATGGGTTTCCGCTGGTTTTTCCAACGGGGTGACACCTTAAAACACCGAGTCAAGTTGGGTGGTGAAGCTATGACCGTTGGGTTTAAAGTACCTAGTTTCCCTGTGGAGATCATCCCATGAAAAAGATGGTTGCAATCCATTCTGGGGTAGCTGACTTTGATTTGCGGACATCACGGTTAGGTCTGAATTGAGCTATTTATTTCTTCACATCCGTGTTTAATTCCTTAGTTAAAACTCCCTGGGGAGTGAAGCTGTATGTTATTATTTAGTACAAGTGCGACATTTGTTATACAGGAGAGATCGGCGCACACCCGGACGTGGAATCTGAAAGCAGCACTTGGACCAAAACCGTGCAAAGTGAATCAACAAGATCAACATACGAACGTTAATCAACATGTGCTCGCCGCAAAGCTTCCTAATTATCCTAATAAGAATCAAATTTCCTCACTAAGAAATAGATTGTCCAATCATGTCCATCTCTAGCGTCACCCGATACAAAAATCAATTAAGATGCCCTTGGCCAAGAAGTTCCCTGATATGATAAGCTTGCTTTTTTTCTCAAGTTTATATCCAACCAAGGTCGAGCACAACTTGCTTCCCGAAGAGACTCCCTAATCAGGACCAAAGTACCTACAAAAAAAAACATAAATGTTCAAATTCATTTTGCAGCGACCTAATGTAAAGCCTCAATCACATGGCCTCTCTTATGATTTCACCAAGTTACCAGCTAGGGCAGCTAGGGTCAATAATGATGTTAGTCAGGACTCAGTTTGAAATATCTAAGGGAAACCATGAAAATTGCAAAAACCATTACCAGAAGATATATAATTTCTACTTGTTAACTAAAGGAAATTCAATGAAAGCAACGCATTATTATAACCACACATAGTTATATAATATGCACTGCAATGCAATAAGCCCAAAATTGAACATACAGCGACTTACTTTATGTTCCACATATATATATATATACTTATATATACATTTGTGATTTATCTGTAACATAGCTATGTATGTTCTATTCTGCATACATGTTTCATGTACCCAGGATAAATAGTTCACATTCCAAATATCCACGCAAGCAAGAAGCGTTAATCCATGTTCATGGTCAGACGAAGGTAAACCACTTTTAAAACCCCAAGGTCCTCAACGTCAGGATCCTATATCAATTTATTTGCCATTGCTGGTACAGGTTAAATCTCACATTGGGAAATGAAAATGCAGCAGGGAATCATGGGTAGTCCGCTGGAAAAAAAACAAAGATCAGCAGAACTCAAGTACACATTGTGTGAGGTGGAGTTCCGCCGAGTTTTTATTTTTCAGCAGAAATCCTATAGGTTCAAACATTGAATCAGCAGAAGTCCACTACACAAAACCAGAAGATGAGTTCTGCCCAGGCATAGGTCTGAACACTAAGTTCCGCCGATTTTCTTTCAGCAGAAGTCAGGTACACAATTTGTGTAGTGGAGTTCCGCTGAAAACAAATTTACACTACCCTCTGGTAAATTAACATAGACCCTGGCAGTTGTTGGTTGGAAGACTAGTTTCCATCAAAAATTGGTGATTTTCAGGGTCTATGTTTATTTACCAGAGGGTAAAGTCCGCAAAAATTGTTTGCATTCGATTCCAGGTCACAGGATCTTAATTTTCCGCCCTTTTTTTTGGGGAGCAGATCTCATGCCCCATAATCGACCGCGGCGGAAAAATGTCCGCAGAGTCTGCAGATTTTGTTTGGCAAAAAAAACTGAGACTTCAATGCAAAGTTCTGGACCCTAGACCTATTGGCCATGGGTGGCACATGTGATCGGGAGGAACTTGCCTGGGTAACCCTTGGAAAATCGTATCGAATTGGTGATGGGCAATGTAACCACCCATTACCATGGTCTGACCCCACGTTTTTTGAAAACTCCATGGAAACATGGTTTAATTTAAGTATTCCCATCCCCGCCCCCTAATTAATGCTCAAATCCACCCAAATAGTTAAAAGCTGTTAGAAGCATGTTAAAACTATTTTTTAAGAATGTAATTATTGAATCGGTACTCGGTACATGTGCGACATTTGTTCTACAGGAGAGGTCCGCGCACCCTTGGACCTGGAATCTGAACATGTAAAAAACATGTTGAACTTGTGTGGATGAATTGTTTCAATCATTGCTGGTTGGTGGTTTCAAACATGTTTTATTTTCCATAATATATGGGACGTCATCCTTCCCATTGACTTTCAATGACTTTCATATTT